CCGAGACCATGTATGGCCAGACTAGCTGCTTTGTCGGCCCAAAGATCAACTACGGTCTCTTCAAACTGAAGGAGAAGGAGTACATTGTCGTCACCAAGCGTGCTGCTTGGAACATGGCCTTCCAGGGCCATTTCTTCGGCGATAAGTTCCCCAAAACTCAAGACGAGCTTCCCCAGGTTCTTGAGGTACCGGGTTCCGCCTTCGTTGGAACACTGGTCAACGCACCTCTGTCTTTCCACACTGGAGGCATCCGCATCCTGCCTATGGATAGTGTTTCGGCAGCTAAGGGTACTGGTGTTGTTACCTCTGTCCCCTCCGACAGCCCTGACGATTACGCCACCCTGATGGATCTGGCGAAGAAGGCCGAGTACTATGGCATCCAAAAGGAGTGGGCTGAGCTGGAGATCTTCCCGCTCATTGAGACTCCCACTTACGGTAACTTGACCGCCCCTACTCTAGTCAAGGAGCTGAAGATCAACTCTCCCAAGGATGTCACCCAGCTTGCCCAGGCCAAGGATTTGGCCTACATGGAAGGTTTCTACAAGGGTACTTTGCTAGTTGGCAAGTACAAGGGTGAGGCTGTCAGTGAGGCTAAGGACAAGGTCCGCAAGGACCTTTACGAGAGTGGTGATGCCTTCCCCTTCGCTGACCCCATGGGCAAGGTCGTCAGTCGTAGTGGTGACGACTGTGTTGTTGCCTACCTGGGCCAGTGGTTCCTGAACTACGGTGAGAATGACGCCGAGTGGCAGCAGGAGACCCTGAACCACGTTGTCAACAACCTCAACACTTACTCCGCCGAATGCAGGAATGGTTTCGAGAAGAACCTGTCCTGGCTTAATCGCTGGGCATGTGCCAGAACCTACGGTCTCGGATCCCAGTTGCCATGGGACAAGCAGTTCCTGGTTGAGAGTCTGAGTGACAGTACCGTCTACATGGCCTACTACACCATTGCTCACCTCCTTCACGGTGACCGATACGGCAAGACGACCGGCCCTCTGAAGGTGACCGCGGAGCAGATGACCGATGAGGTCTGGGATTACATCTTCACAAGACGGGAGATTAGCGACGAACTTGTCACCAAGAGTGGAATTAGCAAGGAATCTCTGCAGAAAATGCGCCGTGAATTCGAATACTGGTATCCTCTGGATGTCCGTGTCTCCGGCAAGGATCTGATCCAGAACCACTTGACCTTCTTCCTCTACATCCACATTGCTCTCTTCCCCAAGGAGTACTGGCCCCGTGGTGTCCGTGCTAACGGCCACTTGCTCCTCAACGGTGAGAAGATGAGTAAAAGTACCGGTAACTTCCTGACTCTCAAGGATGCCGTTGACAAGTTCGGCGCCGATGCTACCCGTATTGCATTTGCCGATGCTGGTGACAGCATTGAAGATGCCAACTTCGAGGAGTCTGTTGCCAACAGCAACATCCTGCGTCTCCACACCTTGAAGGATTGGATCGAGGAGGTTTCCAAGGATGAGACTCTGCGCACTGGCCCTGCCGATGCCTTCGCTGACAAGCTCTTCAACAACGAACTTAACAGCCTGGTCCGCGAGACCCAGAAGCACTACCAGGAGTAAGTTTGCATTCCACTGTTATCTACTGCATTGACATCGATAACTAACCCTTTATCTAGCACCAACTTCAAGCTTGCTCTTAAGTCTGGTCTATATGACTTCACTAGTTCCCGTGACAGCTACCGTGAGGCTTCCACCGCTGCTGGCGTTGGTATGCACCGGGACACCATTCTGCGCTACATTGAGCTGCAGGCTCTGATGCTCGCACCCATTACTCCTCACTGGGCTGAGCACATCTGGCTCGAGGTTATTAAGAAGGTCAGTTTTCTTCTCCCCTCCATGCCCAACTTTAATCTAACACTATTTAGTCCGAGTCTATTCACTACGCCCAGTTCCCTGTCGTGCCAGAGCCCTCTCCCGAGCTGACCGCCGCTCAGAACTACGTCCGTAGTACCGCAAGCAACATCATGGGCTCGGAGGCCAACTTCACCAAGAAGCTCTCCAAGGGCAAGGCCATTACCTTCGACCCCCGCAAGCCCAAGCAGCTTACCATCTTCGTTGCCAAGAAGTACCCCAACTGGCAGGAGAAGTACATTGACCTGGTGCGCGATTCCTTCGACTCGCTGAGCCTCTCGTTCAACGACAAGGAGCTCAACGCAAAGGTCGGCAAGTTCGGTGAGATGAAGAAGGCCATGCCCTTCGTTCAGAACCTGAAGCGCCGTCTGGTCAACGCTGGCGAGTCCCCCGCCACTGTCTTCGATCGCAAGCTTCCCTTCGATGAGTTCGCCGTTCTTTCCGAGATGGTGGGTGGCCTGAAGCGTACCTCTGGTTTCAAGGAGATTGAAATCATTGCTGTTGAGGAAGGTGGCAAGACTGGCGAGGTTGTTGGCACTGGTGAGAAGCGTGAGGGTCTGTCCGGCGAGAATGCCGTGCCTGGAACCCCTACATTCCAGTTTGTCAATGTCGAATAAACGACACTTCTTTGAAAAATTCAATCTCGTTTGCCAGTTTCGAAAAGAATTCATGCTTGATGACTTCTGCGAAAATTAAATAAAACATATAGCATATAGCATTTTCAATATCCCAGTTCTATTCCTTATACCTCTAAGCATTTACACGAAATAAATGTCCTGGATTCTTAATAGGACCCAATGGCCATTGTACAGGGTGTTCGTCCTCAGCTAGGTACCTACTTTAGGCAGGACTTCCACTGTCGGCCACGGACACATCGGATCAAAAGAATTGCCCTGCTAGTGGTTGCATTGTCCTTCTTACTTTCTATCCACTGAGTCTTTAAGTCTTGATGGCGACAAGGAGAACACTTCAAGCACTCGACTTCAAAACACCCAATAACCTGTAAACGTCACAAAATAACCTATCAATCAACCAATCGAACCAATGCACGGGAGTAATAAAGGACTCACCTGTTAAGGCCTTCCTTCAATGTCTCTTCTTCCTGTGAGAAAACCAACCGAAACCACCCAACATTCCTCGAATGCTCTTCCCCGGGATGCAAGAAGACGCCAGCATCCACAAGCCTCTGTGCAAGAGCAAATTCCCTATTTTGCGGGGAGAGAACACCGTCAGCGGGGAGGTAAGGCGACAAGTCGATGTAAACGAAGAAGCCAGCATTTCTAATGACCGGATTAGATGAGGATTTGAGTGGCTTTTTCGTCCGAGCTTGTGTACTCACCCGCCCTTCACATAGTTGATTCCCTCCTTGTTAAGCACCGAGGTTGTAATCCGGTAGGCTGAAGCGAGTCTTTGTCTTGCTTTGGCTGTGAAGCTTGATACAAAAGCTTGATCTTCTAGAATCGTGGTGCCAATTGTCACTGCTGCTTGTGAAGCACCGTGGAGTCTCCTATATAGAGTCAGTTTTGCAGCGAACGTTGCTAGCTTTCGTGATGCTAGATAGAGGTCTCACAGGATTGCTTTGCAAGCTTGGCGAAGCTGCTGGTTTTGGGTTACCAAGAACCCAAGGTGAAGGCCCCCGGAAGCAAAGTCCTATAATGATATTACATCAGATTCGATACCTCGATGAAGATTACCCGATGTCTACCTTGCTGAAGCCATATAAGACATGGACCAGATCAGGATCTATCAAACCCGTGAAATCCAGCGAGAGGATCGAAGTAAACGGCACGGCGTCGGGGTCACCAGAATCAAACACACAGGAAGCGTAGACTTCGTCACTGATGAGGTGGAGCTTATGCCTGTTGCAGAATCGGGCAATGGCCTTGAGTGTCTCAACTGGGTAGCAACGGCCTGTCGGTGGCTAATTAGTTCAATCCAATGGACGAAGCGGCATACATAACTCACCAACAGGGTTATGTGGATTGACAAGCAGCACAGCTCGGATCTTCTGACCCCGTTCCTTGGCATCCTTCAAAGCTAACTCATACTTTTCCACAGAAATAGGAGAGAATGCCTCTTCCACCGCTGTGTCAGCATAGACCATTTCAACGCCAGACTCAACGCCATAGTCGAGCTCAAAGCGCCCGTATACAGGTCTGCTAACGAGAATCCCATCCCCGCATTCTGCGAGACTGTATCCTAGCATACTTCCAAGAGAGGTCGGAGAGTCTGCGAAGAATACATCCTCGGCATTAATCGGGGTATGTGGTTTGAGGATATTGTTCAAATGAACTGCTGCAGCGGCTGGTAATCTTGCAGCTGTTGGTGCACTTGAGCGGTAGCTGATAGAGTCTTGTGTGAAGACGACCTATGTCAGGTTGTTAGGGTGGGATTCTTTCAGTCAATGGATATATGTTTGCATAAAGGTACCTTTTCGTTGATATATTTGGCTATCTCTGCTCTCATTGGTTTCTGGTTGGAAAACAAGTTAGCGTTTGCATTTCAGGTTGCGGGGGATATAGGTACATTCTCCGCCATGCCAAATGAGATGAGCCCCGTCGGGTTCTCCTCTGGGTCATAAGTCTGGGTTAGACTAAAGCGCCAGGGTTTGGTCAGTTCCTTGACATTTTCGCTTCCCCGAGAAGATAACATCATGGGATGGGTAAGCGTGAATGTCGATTTGCTGACTGTCAAAGAGAAATATATAATTGGAGCGACTTCAACATCAGACGGGTTAGTCGTACAAAGCCCGTTTAGTCGAAAAAGAAAATACTTACTGAACAAACTAAACAGGGATTCGAAATAAAGTCGTGGGAAAGAAGTTAAATGAATTAAGGTCTACGCCTAATCCCAGGTCTCCCCCACCTGCGGGGACCGTGGGGACGAGCACTTTCTTGTTTAATGTATGTTGTAGTTATGTTGTATGTTGTATGTTGTTACTTGTAGATATGAACCCAACTATGGAGATCTTTGATGATATATAACAGGAATATTGTACATATATAGCTATACGCCAAACAAGGGTGGTTGTGATACCTCCACGTGATGAAAGCTATCCTTTACTCTCTTTTAGGCAAATCATCATTTTCTTCCTGCCATTCCCTCTCGAAATCTCACCTATTTATCCTACAAATGGATTCCCTTTCCAACTTGAGCCGAGCTGATTCCTTCATTGCGGCCGGTACAGTCTCGGTAATCTATGCTGTTGACGAAAATATCGTCATCAAAATCCGTCCCTCTTCAGGGGGTTTCGAACGTCAGGCTTACGATATTGAAATTCGCTCTTATGAGAGACTTGGGTACCATGAACGCATTGCAACTTGCGAAGTGACCGAGGAAGGTCTCCTATTGGAACGTGGAACTTGTCTTCGGGGCATGCTCCAGAGTGTCAGCAAATCTGCCATTCCTTGGGCCATGAAGCTTCAGTGGGCGCTGGAAGCCGCAGATGGTCTTGCATATATTCATACCAAGAGAATTATACATGCAGACGTTGGCTGTCACAACATCATCGTGGATAATGCCAGTCATATCAAGTTTATTGACTTTGCTGGCTCCGGTATCGACGGTGAAGCCCCCTTAGTCTGCTATGAGTGGTGTAGCTTCAAGCCTAACAATGAAATCGGAATCCACACTGATATATTTGCTTTTGGGTCAATGCTTTTCGAGCTTGAAACAGAGCGTGTCCCCTACAACGAGCTGGAAAGGACTCTGGAAATGGGAAAGCTAGTGAAAGTCGTTGAGGGGCTGTTCTCGCAGCAGAAATTCCCATCTGTGGAGGCTCTAACCTTCGGGTCCGTCATTTCTGCTTGCTGGAATGGCAAATACACCTCAATGGATGAAGTTCATCGAGATATTGCACGTTGCTGTGAGAATTATTCGGAGGGAAGGCTGGATCGGCCGATATTGGGTGCTGACTGAATCCTTTCCCGTATACAATACTTTTTCAGATAAGTTGGATACGTAGTATAAGCCTAATGGCTAGTAATCACACCTGTTTGTCCAACTCAACCTCCCAGCTGTTGAATTTGTCAGTGACATCGCGATATGCGCGATGAAAATTCGGGAAGAAAAACAAATCAGCTTGAGCTCTTGAATCGGAACCATTGCCCATGCCGATATGAACTTACCTGTCAAGCCCGGGAAGGGTCTTTATGAGGATTTTAATGCATCCAGTACGAAGTAGTGAGGTTTGACCGTCGGATGGCGTTGTAGCAGCCCTGTTTCATAGTCAGCCGAGGCAATGGAAAAGTCCCACAGCGAGGGGCCTTCTAGAACAAGGCCAATGGCATGCCTGTCAGTTGGAGGGGGCCGTTGATCCACTCTAATTTAGCAGGCTAAACGGGATACAATAAATCGAAATTCAGTTTCCTCTGCTCTTCCCCAGCCGTGAGAGACCGGGTAGACCGGCATGCGATTTTCAGGGGCGTTGGCGCCCCCACCCTATCAACCCAACTTTGTCGGAAATAAAATAATCTGCTGCACCCTCTGCTTGACTCTTAACTATATCTGCACCATTTTGAGATCGACTTTACAGATCAACATGACTACAGCCGATATTCGCCCAACCATCCTTGTCATCCACGGGGCATGGCATCACCCGGACTTCTATGCCACATTCTGTAAGGCATTCGAAGACTTGGGCTATGAGGCAATTTGTCCTCGTCTTCCGACCTGCAACGATGATAGACCTCCTACAAAGAAATTGGCAGATGACGTGTCGCTCATCCGACAGACCGCACAAGCGCTCCTCGACAGCGGAAAGACTATCATTGCGGTGATGCACTCCTATGGAGGAGTCGTCGGCACGGACGCCTTGGACGGACTGGCAATCAAGCAACTGATCTACATGACGGCCTTTGCCCCTTCGGCTGGGAACAGCCTAGCTGGCACGTTTGGAGGGCGCGTACCTCCTTTTGTCGCAGTTGATGTATCAAATCCTTATTATTTGAGCTGGGGTATACTTACTGACTCCATGCCGTCTAGGAGGAGAAAGATCTACTAACTGTTCCTGATCCGGCGCCTTGGTTTTTTAATGATCTTCCACCTGCAGATGCCGCTGTCTGGGCAAACAAGCTCGTAGTTCATCCGAAATCTGCTCAATCCGACCTGGTCACGCATGAGGCATACCGGACCATTCCCACTGCATACATTGTGTGTGACAAAGATGCGGCTCTTATCCCAATGGTACAAGAAATGATGATCGATAACATGCGGAAGGCAGGAGTCAATGTCGACGTGGAGAGACTCCCAGCAAGTCACAGTCCTTTCTTGAGCATGCCTGAAGAGACTGCCAAGTTGGTGCTAAAGATCGCTAAAAAGGGACTCTGAGGAAGTTCAGCCGGATGAATCTGCGGGAGATTGGTTGATCCTTCTTAGGGGTTTCCGAATAGGAGGTATACACGCTTTATAGTGAGACATCTTGTGGACTTGTGGGTAGCTTGAGACAAGATAACAAGATAACTTCCAAATTGGGTTATCACAGACCAATCATCCAATGAATCTTGAAATTTTTAACTCCAAGGACCCAGATCGGTCAACTCTAATGGTGGAGATAACCAATAATAGCCAAGCATGCATATTAACACCCCACTCCATGCTTCCATTAGGGCAAACCTTGAAGTATCACTCCGTGTGGCATTAAATGATCATGGTGAGACATATATCCAAGTCTCAAAGCATAAATCATTGTTTGTCACTTCAAAGTTTTATTGCGGATCTTACAGATCTTCACATGGCATTTCACTTGCGCCTCCTAATGTATTAAAGGGTAGGTATAGGCCTCAACGGTATCTCAGACAACAACTTATGTAGGTTTTCGTCACATCCATTGCCTCATACAACTTACGGCTTCTTGCGCCTAGAGCACAGCGCACTCATATCTTCCGCAGAAGTCATTCCACCGCATTATGGGTGCCAATGCCCGAGGACACACATACATTGCTGTAGGCACAGCGCTTGTCGTATTGTCTACGGTTATTGTGGGCATTCGCGTTGCTGCGCGAGGGATCAAGTCAACCTTGGGATGGGACGACTATGCCATATGTCTGTCGATTGTCCTGGCATACACCATGCTGGGGGAAGCAATCTACTGTATAGTCCCTTAACCACAGCGCAGCGAAGTCACTCAGGACTAATCATGTATAGGGGCCCGAGATGGAGGACTAGGAAAACATATGAGCGAGCTAAGCATCGAAGAGAAAATTACCTTCCAGAAGGCAAGTATCAAGAAGCCCAAATGCCCGATACATCCTAACACCAATCGCAGTGTTTCTTCGCAAACGAAATCTCATACACCCTCCTTGTGCCATCCATAAAAGTCTCGATCCTCTTGCTCTACCGCCGAATCTTCAGCGTTCCCAAATTCCGACTCGTCAGTCTAGTGACCGGCTGCCTAGTCCTATCATGGTGTCTTGCCGTCTTCATCACCGTCCTCCTTCAATGTCGTCCGATCTCTCTGAACTGGAACAAAGAGCAGGCTGGCACTTGCATCAACCCAAAACCATTCTTCTTCGGCAACGCGATATCCAATCTCCTCATTGACGTGGTCATCCTCGCTTTGCCTATCCCGATGGTTTTCCAACTTCAACTACGCCTATCGCAGAAGCTGACCGTTTTGGGTATCTTCCTTCTCGGTGGATTGTGCGTTTACCTATCTCCTACCCCTACGGAATACAAGCTTATAGAGGATAGTGTCTGTGTCGCGAGTGTTATGCGCGTGGTTACGCTCAATATTTTTGAGAATAATGATATATCCTGTGCGTCGTGCCGAATTCTCCCTTGGAAATACCGTAACTGATATCTGGTTCATTCTAGATTCTATCATGGAGGCCGCTACCTGGACCTTCGTCGAGCCTTGCGTTGGTATTATTTGCGCTTGTTTGCCAACTATGCGTCCGTTGTTGCGAGCCCTGTGCTGTTCATTCTCGTGGAGTACGGGGGATTCTAAGGATGCGCCTGTTGGGAATAACCATCGCATGCAAAGGATATCTACGTCTCCAAAGAACGCTAATGATGAAGTATGGGGCCATGACCGGTTCGATGATGAATATGCGTTGACGGCAGAAGGCTCGAAATCGAGGGTCCATGTGCATGACGCTTTATAGATTTGATTGTAATGTTATATAGTTATGGTTTTTGTCACAAGGAATTACAGAAGTTCCAGAGAGGGAAAACCCTGATAATTAAAATACGTGAACTCCCTCCGTTTCATGATTATTGTGTAAAGGAAAAGCCCCTAGAGGCAGAACCAGAATCGTGCTTGACATATATATATATGAGAGGAGAAACGCCGAGCCGCTATGCTAAATGGCCTAATGTACACGTCTATATACCGAAATCACAATAATCAACATCTCGTCCGCGGCCGTTTGCGCTTGTCGATTTTCTTCTTCTCGGCAATAAAGTTCCAACATTCAATTGGACGCCGGGACCCAATATGCTTCCCGTTGGGAGTGAAAACCTCGACCTGTGGATGGGAAGGATCGTCTTCAGAATCCCGCTTGCTGCGAATTTGTATACTGAGCTCGATCCAGCCGCAGCCCTCGATGAGAATATCTGCCGACATAACGCGGTATGGCAATGAAGGCACTGGGATTCCCCTGTCCTTGACAGCTTTGGCGAGCGAGGTAGGAAGGTTTGAGGTGGTGGTATCCCACTTCAAGTCAAATATACCCGCCGAGGCTATTATGCTGCCGGTTCCCTCTTTCATAATGACAGTTCCCCGGTATGGGATTTCCTCGGCCTGTGTGTCAATTGCCTTCTGTGTGTTGGTGATATGAGACTCGAGAGGCAGGAAACTGGCGGACATGACTGTATCTTGGGGGTTCACCGGGGTGATGCGGATAAGACCACCACCAAGCAGAAGAGACTGGCCGGGTTTGATGGTCGAACGTTCAGGCTTGATCCGCTTCGTCATGATCAAATCACGCTTGTGTTCATCCTGAACGAAATCCTCTAATAGACCACGCTCTAGGCCGGGCAAATCGATGACCTCGCCCTTCCCACGACCGAAGGGAATACGGATAGGCGAGACTGTGGTGCCTGGAAGAGAAGACACGACTGGGAGCACAGGATAGAGATCCTCGCGAGGGGCAGGGGGAAGAAGGCTGTCGGGGTTAAGAGGTGCGTCCTCTCGCTGATTTGGAATCTCATTGCCATCACGGCGGCGTTGAACCCACTCTTCGATTTTCTCCACATTCCTGGAATCCTTGGGGAAACAAGCTTCAATGAAGCTGCTCTTTCCGACGTTTGCCTTGCCAACGACCCAAATGCCGCCACCATGCTCTCGGATCTCTTCCTTGACTTCCTTGGTCCACCAGCCACGATGCGCGCTAATCATGTGCACGTTACCCAAACGGGCCTCCCTCCCAGATCTTCCCAAAGCCGCGCGTAGCTCTGTGCGAATGTAATCCATTTTCGAGTCTACCTGCTCTTTCGTTGCCGCCAAAAGGTCAGATCGCGTGATTATAAACGACAAAGATGGGAGTTTTCTGCCGCGTTCATATTTCTCATTGGTAGATCGTCGGTTCCGCGAACGTTGCTCCTGCAGCGTTAATGCCCAATGAATGCGTGGAACGAGAGACATGGGGAAATCTGCGGCATCGATGATATGGTAAACACGGTTGTATTTGTGCGGCGATTCCTCCAGATAGTTTCGTATAGACATAATAGTCGGCTTAGGCGAAGACACTGCCTTGTTGTGGTGTATCAAGTCGTGGCAACGGTCGCAGACTTCGGTGATTCGACCCGGAGACTCAAGGAAATTGTTTTCGGGATCGACAGCTTCATCCGGAAAAGCTCCATCTTTGTATCTAGTCAGCAAATGGTGCGCTTGAGCAATAGTCCAGATGTCCTACCTTGAATGGGCTTGGGTGGCATCGCCTCCTCGATGGCATCGTTCTCCTGTGCGCTCAAGTCGTCTCCCTCGGTGGATGTAGCATTGTTTTCTTGGATATTCTTGTGTTCAATTGCTTCCTTTCTCACGGCCAGTAGCTTTCGAATCTGCTTTCGTGATGTACCATAGTATCCTGGCTCGTTTGCCTCAACTGTTTGGGAGAATGCGCCACATCCTGGGCAGCACACTGGCAGGGAATCTGCTAGGGTGTCGACCTGAGGCTCGGCTTGGGGCTGTTCTCGCTGGAAGCGAGTTGTTGAGAAGCATCGGCATTGCCTGCGGAGGTCCGTAAGGACTTTGGGTTGTGACGCGGCGTGTGATGGTGCAAAGAGCGTTTGTGCCTGAGATCTAGGAATGGTCTTTGGAAGCAGACGTAACAGATTTAATCTCGGGTTTCTGAACACTGCGCCTCGAGAGCAGAGCGACATGATGGCTTGTGAAATTGCGGAGTTGCGGAGCTTTTTTTCTTAGGAGACAGTTATCTATCGATAGCGCACATGGCAAGTTTGGGCCGCCGTACAAGTATGAGCCAACTTGGGGAAGGCTGCGCAACAAGAATTGTTTATTATTTTACACATTAGTAGACTGGAATGAGGCCGGAATTTGATGACAGTGGACAACTTTTGTATTGAAAACTCCTATCGGAGGCTGATATTATTGACACAGAAGGCGCTGAAACACAGATGCGCTAGAGAATCCCTGAAAGTAGCAGTAAAAGAACGCCGTCGTGAACCATGGAAAAATACTGGTTGTAATAGAATATTAAGCACGCGCCTTTCCCTTTCCCTTGTCAGACTCATCCATCTCTTCATCGGAGTCGCTCATGAACTCGTCGTCATCATCGAAACCAATGAACTTCCTGGGTGCAGTCTTTTGAGGTACAGAGGGCCCAGGAACAGCATTGGATGATTCGGCATTTCCCTCGCTCTCTTCATCCTCGCTGGACGAAGCATCCTCCTCACTTCCCTCGTCGCTGGCGCTGGTGCTGGATCCCCCAGGATTGTGTCGCGAAGATTGTCCGTCCATCCGCCGTCCTTTACAGCACGTAGAACTGCCTCGCGGGTCTTTTCGCTCATTTCTTCCCTGTCTTCCATCCACTGTCCATCCAACTTCTGTCTGCCGCTGCCGTTCTTCAATTCGTCTTGGCGCTTTTCGGCCATGTCCACCACGGACTGCCATCGGCGCTGGCGTTCCTCCTTTTCTTTCTTGTCCATCTCTGGCTTGACAGCAAGGTATTCTGCGAGAGCCTTTGCCTCATTGACAGTGCGTAGCCGGCGACCATCGAGATTGCGACTGGAGCCATTGTTGTCGCCCTGGTTGCGCTTGCGCTTGCTGGACATGCGGCCACCGGCGGCACGCAGTTGAGAGCCGAAACCACCTTTTCCACCGCAGAGGGGGGTAGTCAGGCGAAGCGGAAGGAGTGTAGAGGTAAAGACGCCATCACAGGTCGGGAGTAAAGATTGGATACATTCGGAGCTGGCTGTGAGCTGCTTGTTATTTGTTGTAGTAAGGACGAGCGACTGGAGTAAAACCGATGACGGCAGATATGAAGCGATCTTGGCCGTCAGGTCTGATGTGCTCGCTGTCGATGGCAAGGTGAACGAGAGTGTCGCGGGCAGCGACAGTCCCGGAAAGGACGACAGTAGGACGTTGACATTTGAGGAAGCCATATTTGAGTGCGCTAGAAACAGGTCCCGATGTAGGAGAGTCGGACAAGTGAGTTGTTTGTAGGAAGAAAATACTGTTGTAGATTGAAGATGTTGCGATAAGATCGAGGATCAGGCGGTCGCCGCTGTAGCAATGATGACTCATCACATACCCTCCATTGTTAGTCAGCGAGGCAGAGGGTACCTCTCATGTGACGCATTTTATGAGGTAAGTACATCACGTGATCCGAACCACAAACTGATTAGGGTGCTAACCCTACACCCAATTCGGTCCGTCGCACTTTTCTCGCAGCGAAGCTCCACTCTTCGTCCATCATTTAAATCAACCATTATTTTCGGGCGTTGTCAAAGCGATTCCCCGACTTGCACCAGGAACTCGCGACAATGTACGTATCCTCGTTTTCTGCGTTTATTTCTGACAGATTCACTAACAATGGCGCAGGCTTATCCCCAAAGACGACCGCAAGAAGATCCACGAGTACCTCTTCCGTGGTATGTAATGAGAACCCTCGTTGACGGTCCCTGCGACTTCACGACCTTGCGCTTGGTCACCTGTGTGCAGATTCACTAACCTATGCTCTAGAGGGAGTGCTCGTGGCCAAGAAGGACTTCAACCTTCCCAAGCACGCTGACATTGACACCAAGAACCTCTATGTCATCAAGGCCCTCCAGTCCCTGGACTCCCGCGGCTTTGTCAAGACTCAGTTCTCGTGGCAGTACTACTACTACACCCTCACCCCCGAGGTACGATCCATCCAAATCCACCACGTCTACATGCCCGAATACTAATTGAATAACAGGGTCTGGACTACCTCCGTGAGTGGCTCCACCTCCCCCGCCGAGGTTGTCCCCGCCACCCACATCAAGCAGCAGCGTTCCCACGCTCCCCCCCGCGGCATGATGGGCGGTGAGGAGCAGCGCGGTGAGCGCCGTGGTCCCCGTGCTCCCCGTGAGGGCGGCTACCGCCGTCGCGAGGAGGGTGGAAAGGAGGGCGGTGCCCCCGGCGAGTTCGCTCCCTCTTTCCGTGGTGGCTTCGGCCGTGGCCGTGGTGCCGCTCCCCAGGAGTAAATTCTGAGAGGCATTGGTGTCCTGTCAACCACTTCTCGGTCAATCTAGAGTCTTGATGGTGTATACGAATTCGGCTGCCGGACTAGGGGTTTCTTGAAACGGGCCTTACCTTCGGTGCATCTCGTTCCAGCTTTATTGGGACTTGGGGATACAGGAAACAAAATAAAAAGAAGAAATTTATGTTTCCACTGGTTTCATGATGTAGATATATGTGGATTGATGTAGATCCATTCAATGATACATTCATGATTTGAGTGAAATTGGTATTCGTAATGTTCGTGTAGGTCTTCCAGCTTTCTTGGCCGGTCGATGTGTCTGTATACTAAGATCTTTACACGTTCTGGTCTGTACAAGGGCTTTCTGTCGCTAAAGTGACCAGCATCGCCTCACAGGAATCTCTTCCGGTCATAGCGGACCACGGCCTGCAAAATGACAGATGCTCCAGTAGCACAATCATCGGCAGTGGAGAACTCCTCAGGGTGATGACTGAGGCCATCTTTGCATGGGATAAAGACCATGCTCGTTGGGACACGCTTGGAGGTGAACACACTATCATGGCCAGCACCACTCATAATGGTCCGCACAAGTGACGTTGTATCCGCAACAGAAGCATCTGCGACAACAGCCTGAGCTGACTGCTGCACGCAATCAATGCAGTCTTCATGGAACCTGATAGCAGGCGAGTCGAAATCAAGAGTCCACTCAACGCGGCAAGGTTTACCAATACCAGCACCCTCAGCGGCAGCAATAGCATCGAAAGCAGTGCGTAGCTCCTTCTCAACTTCGGCAACTAGCTCTGTCTTAGGCCCACGGATGTCCAAGCTAAAGCTGACCTTTCCAGGGACTGTGTTCACACTGCCCGGCTTTGCCTCGACAATGCCGACACTGGCAAGACAACCCTTCGAAGATGCCACTTCCCTTGCGCGCACCATCATTTGGGCGAATGCAAAGAGGGCGTCCGCTCGATGTTCAAAGGCGGTGGTTCCTGTGTGTGTATCTCGACCAATGACGTTGAGACGGAACCATCTGCTGGCCTGTACAGATGTCACAACTCCAACTCTCTGGTTTGCCGACACCAGGTATGGACCTTGCTCGATGTGGGCTTCGAAATGGGCGGCCATCGGCGTTGACTTGTATGAGCACGGAACATCACCCAAGTAACCGATCTTCTGTAGGGCACTCTTCATGGTCTCTGGTGCTGATGCTGCGGTGGGAAGCGATGCCACCGTTGGCACCTCTTTAAGATTATGGGCATGCGCCAATGGGATGCACTCGGCCCATACACCACTTGAGACCATGCTGATTGGGAATCGAGCACCCTCCTCGCTGGACACGGTCAGTGATATTCCTTTTTCCAAGTTGGGAGTTGGCATCTTACTTGGTCCAGTTGACAACCCCGACTCCGCCCTCCGTCTCCAGACCCATATCGTTCATGATCTTGATGACTTCGATGCCTGTCAATACACCCAGGACACCATCGTACCGTCCACCAGTCGGTTGAGTATCGAGGTGACTTCCAATGAATGTGGCAGGTACATCTGCTCTCCGACCAGGACGCACAGCAAAGATATTACCCATTTCGTCCACGGTGACGTTGCACTTGAGATCTTTCATGGTCTGAATAAACCAATCGCGGACACTTTTGTCATCTTCTGAGAGTGCCAGGCGCTGCATGCCAGTATCTGTAGGTCCACTATCAAGTCGCCGAGGCTGTTGTTAGCGGTCGTTACTCAGTCACCTGGGAAAGGATGGATGTAGCTTACTCTCCCCATCTGATCCCGGATCCCCATTGACAGGAATGGTGAAGATCGTTCGCCAGGCGTTCCTTATTTGCTCTGAGTGCAGAGACCTGGGTCTCGGAGAGTTCCGTTGTCAACATAGCTTGTATTCGTGATGAAGAGAAGGTTCGAGCAGTGTTTGAAAAGGCAGGCTTGACAGATTGAAGACACGTTCTTGGAAGAGCTCGTAAAAATCGAGAACACGCCATAATGTCCTATCGCTTTATATAGGAAAGCTGGAGGGTCTGGAGTACTTTGTATGGTCATTGATAAGAAGTGGAGTTGAGCGGACAGAAGTCCGCATTGCCGCGATAGTCCCCGGTTTACCTCCAATCCCCGCAATACGAAGACATCTCCATGTTACTTCCTTACTTCCCCAACTGAGGGATTTTCTGGTCTATTGGGATTGGTTGGAGACTAATATATCCTTATAGTGTCCATATATCCTTTGTCTTTGGATGAGATCCCTGTAAATCTCGCATATATGGACCATATACTCAGTTCCAACCTATCGTTACCCATTGGAGTATCAAGGCAATGACCCCATGCTTGTTGGGGTCGCATCTCTGACGTTGGGGTCAATCGATATCCTTATAGTGTCCATATATCCTTTGTCTTTGGATGGAATCCCTGTAAATCTCTCATATATGGACCATATACATACTCAGTACCAACCGATTGTTCCCCACTGGAGCATCAAGGCAGTGACCCCATGCTTATTGGGGTCGCATCTCTGGCGTTGGGGTCAATCGGAACTCCAGTATTGGAGTTGACCCATTGTGTTAACTATCCGAGCAAAGCTGTCATGGGATACAACTATGGGAGCATAGTTATGTGTAGCTGTTGGAATCCATAGGCTCAGAAACCTAGCTTCTTCAAAAGCTCAATGCATATTCTCACATTGTACCATGTACTTTGATATAGTCCCTTCTGGCAGTAATACCTAACATGAAGATGTACATAGTTTGCTCCCGAGGTCTGCCTTTGGGCTCATTCCTGTAATGGGTCGCTGCAATCAATGCATGTAATATTCATCCATTTTCTTAGGTAGCAAACGAAGGGGTAGAGTGTATAGAAAAGTCATAGGGACAAAATCCAGTCTGGCTCATTTGCTCATGCTTGCTGATTTGCTCCTCTTCCATTTCTCTCATTTTCCTTCTCTCCCACCAATATTTCCACTTCCGAATTGATTAGCCAGCAACCATATTACATCGAGGATTTGGCTGGATCTCTATATGCTGACTATCAAGTGGGGGCCATCTCGAGGTCAAATACATTGTGGGATGGGATGAGAAACTATCTACCATGACGGGAACCTTCCGACACAGACTTTCAATAAATGGGATGTTCTGCACCCATGTTGCCATTTGATCACAAATCCAGATGAATCCCTAGCTGGTGAATATTATTATGTTCTCGAACTTCTACTGACGATGCATTATACAGAGCTGTAGTTCAACGCCCGTCATCTGCCATTTCGTGACCTTTTACATCTGCGAGACATGCCAACAAGCTTTAAATCCCCGTGGGCTGAGAATGAGGCCTTCTCCAACAAGGCTGGTGGAACAATTACTGAGGGCATGCGGCCTTCAAGTCATGATATAACCGGGGTGTGTCCATGGGTTACGCACACTGCAACTCAGCACCATCACCACTGTCACCTTACGACCCGAGTTGCCTCCGGGGGCTATCATATCTTGGTGAGGGTAGGATCTGATAAGATTTTGCATGATGTGATTTGAATGAAACAATACATCAACATGATTTGGTTTCCTGCGCGTATCTAGGTAGTTGAATCAAGAGAGAGCGGCATTCAAGGGTTGGATACTCGGCCCAGTTCTAATATCTGGGCTTTGCTCGGTGGGTTTTGGGTAGGATTCAAGGTCAAGTATCTAAGCCTCATGTGATGTTTTCCAAGTAAATGATACCATTATTGCACTGAGACCAAGATCAAGACTTTCTGTCATGGAAGGGGGGCTCACATTGGCGCTGGACTGCACCATCTGCAGAGAACACATGTGGAAGAATCCAAGTTGGGCCTCGAGCAATGTTGATTAACTCGGAAGCAACTTTATTGAACAGCACAGTTAGCATAGTGCATCTAATTCACTCAACTTTGGCAACCCACCTAGCTACAAAGCCGCCACGCACTGAACGGCGCTCGCGCCATTCCCAATCACAACAACTCGTTTTTCCGTGACATCCATATCAGCAGGCCAATTTGCAGTATGTACTTGTTTCCCAAGAAATATCTCCTGACCCTCTATCTTAGGGATATTGTAGTTATTTAGCCGCCCGACGGCATAAACAAAAACATTAGCAACAATGGTCTTCCGATGTTCGGAAACCACATTATGAAGAACGACTTTCCACTTCGAGGATTCTCTATCCCATTCAGCCGATATGCATTCGGTATTAAATGTTATGAACCGGCGAAGGTCATACCTATCGGCCACATCCTCTAAGTATTTGTGAATCTCCGGAGCTGGTGGGTAAAGCGATGACCATGATAGATTGGGTGCCCAATTGAACTGATAGGTGTAGGAAGGCACATCGTATATGTATCTTTCAACCGATTAGTGATATTTCCATTTATGTAATAGCAAGAGGACGTACCCGGGATAGCGATTTTTATACCACGTACCTCTAAGGCTAGGATTTTTGTCGTAAATCTTAAGGTTAAGGCCTCTTAATACTTTGGTCGTATTATATGTAAATTGGATTCCCGAATTACTATAAGAATCGGTTAGATCCGCTCTTAAGATCAGGCTCAGCATCTACGTACCCGGTACCGATGACCACGATCTTTATCGGGCGTGCTAGGAAGGCACTAGGGATGAGGTTTGTCTCTATTGCAGGTGATTTGCAGAAAGAGAAATGAAATTAAGAAGCTTCCTCGACGTATCGGGAAATATTGCTATCAAAAAGACATTATAATTGCGCTGTCGGTCCTCTGTAAAGCTTAGGGGCTCTGTTTAAATATGTAATTCTAGACAAAATGCCCGTTTTAAAGTATGGGAAGCTCCCGTCCCTTCTACTCGATACCAGGACTGAATTCAATTAACATCTCGGTTAGCCTAGACCTATTATTTGCTACTAGACACTTTTACTTCTCTAGTACGTGAAATTGGTTTATAATGGATTAATGAAACAGCCCGAAATATTCGTTGAACCGAAGGATCCTTATATGATATATGCCAAACCGTATGATTCACTGTAACAGCTTTCATTTAACGTGCCGTTGAAATCCGTGGTATCCAATTGTTTGAAGTCTCGCAACAAAAAAATACGAGATGATAAACCGGCAATACTTGCTATGTATCATTTTCAATCAACTTATTCGCAGATACCGATTAGCAGAAGATTTATTCTCCTGTGATAGATGTAACAAATTAGTCAAAACCTCATGCGAGTACAGAATACGGTGTGTTTATACACTAGGGATATTTTATCATTGGGTTCGGTGATTACTCACCTTCTGTCTCAGACGGGTACGACGGTGTATAGCGCTCAATGCCAAATGCCTGAATTTGTTGCCTGAATGCCTTGTTTTGGCCTGGCAGAAAAATAAAAATACATGAATTACCATTACAGATCCCTTAATAAGCAATTTACTGGACTTCGGGACTGGTTCCTAGCCCAAGGTAGGAATGAAAATGAAGCTTTTCGTCCCCATACAAATGGCGCATCTGGAAACCACCAAAAACATAGAGATGTCTCCATTTGTATGGGGACGAAAAGCTTCATTCTTGACACTTGGAGATCGTCTAAAAAGTTAGAGATGCGCCATTTATATAGGGACGAAAGGCTTCATTTTTAACACTTGCAAACCGCCCAAAAATATGGAGATGTCTCCATTTGTATGGGGAGGAAAGGCTTCATTTTTTGACACTTGCAAATCGTCTAGAAAGTTGGAGATGCGCCATTTGTATGGAGATGAAAAGCCATGGGTCAACGGCGCCTAGTTATTCCATGCCGAGTAAGTCTCTGTCCCAAATAGGCTTAGTTTCAATCATAGATCCTATATATGATGCTTCACTACGCATTACAATAAGTATCCTAGCACATATCTTAATCATCTATCTCTATCCCAAAGATTTCGATCAGTAGTGTCTTCTCTCTGTTCTTCTCTCGCTTCTAGACGCTCCTTGAAAATATTCCATCATGTGCTCTTCTAATATGGGTCATCAAGCAGCGCGAGCACAAGAGGAAGGCGCGACTGAGATAGAAACACGTCCCTCCTTCGCGCCCCATCCAACTTCTCAGACTTCTCCCCCATCCAACTCTTCACCTCACACCTCCCATCCCACAATGCCCTTTAGTGACGCCGAGTTGTCTGATGCCAATCCTCAATTCGGCCGTGACGTGCAAAGCTCAAATTCACCGAAACAATCTCATGCTTTATCTCCCTCCTCCGATATAGAGATTCTTGACCTTGGGCTTGACCCCACAACCCTCCTGACCGCTAATATTCTCCACCGACCCTCCTCCCTCAAACAGCTTTGTGACCATATCGACATACTCAAAGGCGAGCTAGTGTCAGAGGACCCCCCTAGATCACAATACCTTCTAGTGCGGCAGGTCCCCAACCATCTTTTTTCGGTCCTTGTTAAGGACGGTGACGACAGTGAATTTCCAAAAGGGGTGCGCGCAACGGTTCTTTATAACAAGCACCAGATCCTCTATAGGATCATGGTGGGCCACTACCACGAGAAGATCATCCGTCAGTTTGATACCTGGATTAACCTTACTCTGGGTCATATGGGGTTGAGCTTTGTGGACTATGACTTTTGGCTTGGAGGGGCTGGACGGTCCGATGGTCGCATGTGCAGTAAGGAGGGAGATACCACGTTTTTCCCTGGAAGGGAACCGGCCGCCGGGGCACCGATGCCATGGCCGTCTCTTGTTCTAGAGGTCGGTATATCCGAGTCCGTCCCTCAGCTACGGACGGATGCCCGCTGGTGGTACTCTAACTCGAATCACCAAACAAAGCTTGTTGTCATCATCTCCGCTAAACCAAACTCTCGCGATGCGGACATCGAGATCTGGACGGAAGTCGTCAACCAAAGTGTTGTGCCTACCACTAGGGGCCGCGAGACTCACGTCTTGGAGTGCACTAGGTCGGCTACGCTTAGGGATGGGGTGGTGTCTGGTAATGTACTGATAATCGACTTCCAGACTTTGATGGGGCGGCCACCACAGAACCCGCAAGAAACGGACTTGCAGCTAACTCCGCGTTGGATCCAGCGGATGTGTGAATAGCTTGTGGGTTAAAGGTTATGGAGGGCTCGAACGCGGTTTAACCGGTTATGATCAGATTTGGTGTTGTTGTTAGATCGTTGATTCCCATACCTAACATGGGTTTATATTGCTACTAATACACATTGCTACAATGTACTAGAAGGCCAGAAGTGTACTAGACGTTGTACTAGAGGTAGACCCCCAGTCAGCCCTGCCTCAGCCTTGTATACATATACCGGGCTTTCGCATTATCCTCGGCCAGGTTTGCGAATATTTATAAACTGGCGACTACTCGAGTGCTTCTTGCAAAGCACTTGCCAAATTGACCAGTAATATCTTGGGTTAGATATATTGATCCTTCCTCAGGGGCACAGGTATGATATATAAGAGAGAATTATCGCTTCTATTAAGGTTTTCACTTATAGTTACGATGTTTCCTAGCATAACCTAGAATCGAATATTGCGCATCACAATCCTATCTACGTAGATCACTAATGTGATGCGCTCCAAAAGCTGCTGACGGCTATATATTCTATTCGATACTTCTAACAAGCATCCCGACAAAAAGTCGAGGTCTCATTTGGAAAGCAAGCTTTTCTTGTTGCTGCCGATTGGAACGGTGTATAAAGTATTAATAGTATGGTTAGTCAACACTTTTTAAACCAGTCTGTATTACGTGTAGGGCTAGATTTATGGGTAAGTTAAGCGTATTCGCGTCGGATAATACGCGAATTAATAGCTGAGATATGCGAGATCGTTGGAACCTTAGATTACTGCGTATAATACTTCTCTAGCGAAAGTTTAATAAAGAGGGCGTTTGATTTTGTCTGGATTTGAAACGCACTTTATTATGCTAGCTAGACTTTCTGAGATATAAAACGGTTTATCTCTACCCTTCTTATCTTATAAACCGCGATTTTATATCTCAAAAGTCAAACCTCGAAAAAGAAAACTCATTGAAGTGCCCGTTCCACCCTTTCGCTACAATTTAAGGTATACATATGATACGACCCTATTCAAAGAGAATACTTCGCCCGATTCATTATCTATCGAAGATATATATAGGGCTACTATATTGAATGCCAGAACCGATTAAACAAGCAATATTACCCGAATTAAACAACAAATAGTGTTTCTATTATTATATCTACGCAGCAGAGTAATAGAGGGGTTTCTAATGCCCATACTAATAAACATAGTCAGTGTCTCATACCTAATCGTTCTACGTTAGGGGCTAATATTGCCGAAGGATCGGTAGGTAGTCCAGCTTCACTAGAGCCATCCTAGGCTACGGTTCCACTAGGGTAGGCCCAGCTTAAAGCCCCGCTAGAAAAAGGGCATACCTCGGTTAATCTAGGATAGGCCTAGCTACCCGTACCGCCGGAGGAAGGGCAGGCCTCGCTTTATCCAGGATAGGCCCAGCTACCCGTACCTCCAGAGGTAGCCTAGTACGCGGTTCCACTAGGGCAGGCCTAGCCGCCCGCTCCTTCGGCGACAAGCGACTAATTATCTTCCCTATCGGGGGGTCTAACAGGCGATATAGACATATACGATATAGGGGAGCTATACAAGCCCAGCGATTCGGACCGTCGGTATATGATTATAGATATCCTCAGTGCCCCAGATGACCTAAATACAATTCAATACGCTTAGGAAAGATATATTCCCGATAACTACAATCTTAATTACAAGCAACTGATGGCTATACTGCACCCTGATAGGGTTCCGACCTCAGATAAGGCAGAAGCTGAAAAAGCCTTCCAAAGTGAGAACCATTAAAGAATAGACGTCGAAATCTCGTGCTAATTAGTTTCAAGGGGTACAATGGGCCGGAGCGGAGCTTGAAAAACTCTTTCCTGGGCAGGTAAACAAGAACCACCAGTTCTTTCAGGGAGGAGGATCTGCGTCCCAGCCACATATTGAGGAGGACCTATGTTCATATCACAAAGCCGCCCACGAAAAAGCTACAAAGCACATAGGGTTACTTTACGTTGGCCTTCAGAAAAACCCCAGTGTAAATATTCACCAAGGACCTGTTCCTAGGTGGGCTTTAAGCTATGCCCAAGATGGCCTGCCTCGAACATGATAGAATACATATAGAAATGGCAGAAGCGAGACTTTCATACCATTGAATTACTTTGTCTTGATAGAAGTGAATACCTTGATAGAGTGTCATATCATTCAAACTCGCCGTTTGATCAAAACGAGACACTTTCATATGCTGTAACAGTAGGGTAGGGAGAAGCTAGCTGAGATAGATGAAAAGAACGTTACTCTACCTCTCTTCTTCTTTCTTCGTGTCTAATCTCTTTCTCTTTCTCTTTCTCTTTCTCTTTCTCTTTTCCTCTCTTCCTCTCTTATCCCTTCGCGTTTCAGCTAACAATCAACACCACCATCATCCTCCATTCTTATCAGAATGGCAAGTCCTGCTTCGCCCGGGGAAACCTCCAAAAAGAAAAAGCGAAACCCGGGTTTCGGGAAAATGCTGAGGAGCCATGGGGTTGATACGGTAAGCCTCGTGTCTCCTCTGGTCTCAACTGGTCGAGTCTCCTGGTTGTCTCCAGTATAGAGGTGTCTTCTATCTTCACTTACTTGTCCCATTCTTGCTACTTTGACTTGACCCTAGCTGACATTTTGGTTGATATAGCCCCCTGTTGTGAAGGGGGTGCGAGATCCTTCGCTTCCCCCAAACGAAAGCGTAACCAAAAGGACCCTGGAAAGAAGAGGGCAAAGAAAAGGAGTATGTTCCATAATATGGCTTGACATTAAGCGGATGCTAATAGTCTAAAAGAGATGGCCGCTGCCGCTGCCGCTGCAACTGCCACCAATGAGGCCGACGGGCCTCATGTCTCTGCTGGCCCCTCGGACACCGGAGCTGGTAGTTCGGGTGCTGATTCGCCTGTTGCCGCGCCCTCGCCTGTCGCCACGCCCTCGCCTGTCGCCGCGCCCTCGCCCTCACCTGGCGCTTTACTTACTGTCTCGTCTTCCTCTGTCACCGTGTCTCCCCCCGCGGCCTCGCCCGCTCAGTTTCCCCAGCCAGCAGAAGAGGGGACCGGTGCTGATAATGTGGTCTGGGACCCGGTGGACCCTCTGGGCCTGTTTGATGAGCTTGAGGGACCGTTGGACTGGCCATCTGAAGGGCTGTTTGACTGAAAGATGCATGACTCTCTTTGTTGTTCAAATACCAGGTCCATCCTAATCAAGGTGTCCATGCGTCTTTTATGAATTCAATTTTAATACCGATTTTCATTGATTTCATTAGTCTCATGACTAGATTAACTCGTATTAACTAGAAGCCTAGGCTTTATTCCCTTCTAGGACTTGGATAGAGGAGGCACAGAATGGCCGCAGCGGGCTCTAAAAAAATGGCGATAGGCTTTGACCATCGCTAAAGCCATGGCCTCTACATTCTACACGTCACCTTGTAAAGTCTTCTACATGGGGCACGTCGAACCGTATGGAGAAATGAGAGTTGAGACTGGTGGTTGTCAAAGCTAGGAGTTAACTATGGAGGCTATAGTTAGACAAGTTTAACGCCGCCACAAAATTAAAAGGGTAGCGGCTGTAGAAAGGGGACTATCGCGCTACGAAGACGTATAGGGGCCCGGGGTCAAAACCCCTTTTGGGAGGGGTTTATGCCTGAATGCCTTATTTAAAAACGGCAGAAAAATTAAAATACCTGAATTACTATTACATGCGCCTTAGTAATCCAAGTACCCTGATTCTGCTGGCGGTTGCAAGTCGAAAAAATGAAGCTTTTGACCTCCATACAAATCAGGTATCTCCAATTTTTGGACTTGCAACCGCCATGAGATATACATTCAATTCAGATTCAGTTAGATTCAATTAGATTCAATTCAGATTCAATTCACTTTAGAAGTCCCTATAGAGATACCTAGATTTGTATGGTGGCCACATAACTAACTACCTAGGTAGTTATGTAGGCAGGTTGATTGATGTATTAGTTAACAATTTACAGTATACTGTATTAGGGCGGTTTATAAAGCGGTACTAATTCAGGTATCCAGGCATCAACATCCTCCCAAAAAGGGGGTTTGACCCCGGGCCCCTATACGTCTTCGTACTATCGGGCTGCCAGAATCAGTGCCAGTATTGGTAGAATGCAAGCTTTTTATGTTCCCGAGAAGGGACGAAAGCCCTCGTGTTTAGGAAAGATGTAGCGCCGAGACTAGAGGCGCTCGAGATTGGTGACAGTGTGTAAGATAGAGCCCAATGGCAGAAGGACAACTCGAGGTGAAAGGAGAGCTGACAGGTATCCTCAACATATTGACATCATGGTGGCAATGATAATATCGGAAAGAAATCCAAGTACTGGTTGTAGATGTGGCTGAACAAAGCCCAGGCTGGTTTCGGCCAGATGGAACCGGGAACGTGGTTGAATGTTGGAGTCTGTCTAGGTGCCACCGAGGATGTGATAGAAACAAGGCCGCTTGGAGTGTGAAGTCGTGGAAGTGTGGGTAGAAAGTAGAGACACTTGTCCATATGTGCTGTGTATTTTACTGCCCGATTATTGGTGCGTTGGGACTGATTGTATGGATGGATGGTGGTGACGGGTGCCGGTTGCCGTGAAAGGCTGATCGAGGTAACTAAGGTCCATAGGCCGTAAAGGTTGCCATGTAGAAAGTGCCATATCGAAGTGCAGGAAGATGGATTGATGACAAAGCTGGGAGCCATAAAAACTATGGAATAAATCTCACAAATGCATTTTGTTTGACAGCATGGGGTGTTAGTCAATACCGGTGGGTATAGTCTAGGTATTGCAACGTATAATAGTTTCTACATAGTAGGACACGTTTGTACTTTCTACGACTCGATCAAAGAAAGAGTGGACTGCCTTTGCCCCAGATACTACAATGGTTGGTTAGGGCATATATGTCACGTGATGGGAATTGGGTGTTGGTTAAATATCAAAATCATTGTAGTGGTAACCGCGGAAACCCGTGTGGTCTAGTTGGGAAGTCGACCATGAGCCATACCTGCTCTAGACTGAACATCTATGGCCACGTCAAGGGTTCGAACCCCGAGGACCGCAAGTCGCTACGCTCTGCTGCGCTCAACATGCATTCCGCTGTTAGAGAAAACCAACAAGCTGTGGCTGGGTTTGTCATCTTTTTTCTTTTTTTTTTTTTTAATATATCTACTGTTCTCCTCTCCATTGCCTACTATTGCAACATATAAATATAGTGCTTCACATTGATTAAAGAGGTGATTTTAGGAATATAACTGTTAGGAGAGGTCTACGTGGTGTGATTTTCAAGTGTGAGCGTGACTGGATAGTATGTAGACACCAGAAAGTTGAGCGAGACAGCTTCTTGCCTCTCTTCTCACTTCACTCTCTTTTCCCTCTCAGTCTATCCCCACCTTTATTGTTTTATCTAATTGAGCTTCAAAAATGGACGCAAACACTATGGAAAACCACAAGGGACTCAACACGGTTGTTGAAGATACTGTCATTGCCGACGAAGCCAGCACCACCGAAACTGGTACTGGGGAGCCCCTTCCCAAGAAAAAGAAGAAGTCCCACTCCCAAGCATATTATGACCGGCGGAAGACACAGGAGTACAAGGACTAGCGCTAAGAGCGCCGCCGTCTCCGAGAAGCTGGCGTCGAAGTCGTAAGGAGACCATTCTAACTATCGTTGCGGTTATCTTGGAGGCTTGGACTAACAATATTCGGGTATATGATAGCTTCTCCCGTCTCCTCGTGCGCGCGATCCCACTCTCCCCCAAAGGCCAAGAGTATATACTGAGACAACATGATACCGAACCACAGCTGGTAGAAGCTGCTGAGGCGGCTGCCGAGCCTAGCCAAACGCCCCCCAACTACCGCTACCCACCCCACCAATCTTGAGGTGGGCTCTTTGTCCGGTGACAAACACGAGGAGATGAAGGAAGCTGATATTGAGTTTAGTTTGGGTTCGGCCAATATGACTCTTTCATTTCGGGGAAAGAATCTGTTTGAGTAGTGGAGCTATGAATATTTGAATGTGAACTCTCTTTGTGCCCTTTGATCTTTAATTCGAGTTAGACCATATTAGATATTATTTACAGTCCAAAAGAGCTAGTAGGAATACATACTTTATCCAAGTGCTTTCGATTAAACGGTTCAAAGTATAATTTAATGAAACGTGGTAGTTGGTGTTATTAAACCAGTTCATCATTCCCTATGGGACTTCTACAGTGAACATAGTTTCATAGTACTAGATCTTGAATTTAAAGTTCCCCTAACCTTGGAACCCGTCGAATAGACCCACAGGGTCCACAGGTTCCCAAACGTTCTTATTATCAGCCTCCGCTTTAGGCTTCCAATACACCTTGACTGCGAGCATTAGGAGAAGATGGCTCGGCGAGGGCATGGAAATTAGGGACTCGGCATGGTGGCCGGGGCAGCAGGATGGCTAGCTACCTGCAGTCTCTTTTGGACCATTAGCATCATGCACTTAGTATCAGGCAATATCATGGAACATACTTGCCTCCTTGGCTCTTTCTTGGTTCTTTTCTTAGATGTTTTGTTTGCCAGGATTATTCTGGTTGCTCTTTGGCTTGGGGGGCATTGCAGGGACACACCCCTGCACGATAGGATTTGTATCAACCAAAATACTAACTCAAGTCAAATTAGGTATAGCAATGATGGCATAAACAAGGAAAGATAGTCGACAGTATAAAAGGCTAGGAAGAGACCCGGGTTATTCGACAGATTGAGACCAGGTTAAGCACTTACCCCACCAATGCCATGATCCTGTAGGTCTCGTCGGAAACTGGGGTTCCCCCGGCGAAGGAGGGCCCTCCATTGTGGGATGAGATGTTAAGAGAAAGGGGAGAGTGGAAAAGACATGTGCACATGGAGAGAATGGTGTACAGAAGAGGAAAGAGAATATTAACTTGAAGAAGGTAGTGGGCTAAGGCATATATGGTTGCTGTCTACGCCTCTGACCTCTAGTAGACAGAGTGTCATACAGGATTATTATTCACCAAATCACTACCACATTATTACTCTATGCTTCAGGAGTATGCCGAGGTAAGGTACTAGAAGGAGCAAAAGGAGTTATTAGACTAAAGAGAAAGAGTGAAAAAAAAAAAGATGACAAACCCAGCCACAGCTTGTTGGTTTTCTCTAACAGCGGAATGCGTGTTGAGCGCAGCAGAGCGTAGCGACTTGCGGTCCTCGGGGTTCGAACCCTTGACGTGGCCATAGATGTTCAGTCTAGAGCAGGTATGGCTCATGGTCGACTTCCCAACTAGACCACACGGGTTTCCGCGGTTACCACTATACTGGCTTTGGTATTTAACCAACCCCAGCCACCCAGGTACCTAACAGAACGTTATTGTCAGACTTCTTAGCTTCTATAGCTCAACTTTCTCAACTCGTAAATCAACCTCATACTACACCATGCACTTCGACGTCAACAACACGCCCACCACCAATGAACGAACAGTCTGCCTCTGTCACATCTCCAGCTCTCCAGCTGCCGCATCTTCGCCTGCCTAGATACATTAGATATCTTAGCCACACTCACACTAGGAAATAAAAAATGCATCATGGTATGTAGATAAACATTAATACGATCATACGTTTTCGTACGTCGGATGTACATCTCATAACTATATATACATACAGTGTCTGATTATTTCTGCAAAATTCCCTATATCCGAGTAGTAGAGATACCTAGACAATTCTCGGACAAACAAGCAACCTAAGATTATATATATATATCTGATCAATACTACTTACTATACTGTTGTAGGTACATATGTAGATGCATTTCCGTCGTCCCCGGAATGTAGATCAACTTAGGGCACGGGTATCCACATGAGGATCGACATGTATTCAAGAACCAGGCTCTTGGTAGTCTTGCAGGGGTATGAACGAGAGCAAAAAAAAGATGAATAAATCCATTGACCTAAATTTGAAAACAAACTAAACTCTTACTTTGTTACAAAAACAAAAACAAGCAAAAAAAAAAAAAAGAAAAAAAGTACCCTTGTCCGGACTAAGAAAGTGTGGCTGTATGCCGCACAGTGGTTACCGATCACGTGCAGATTCGCCTCAACCTCAACCAGTGGTTGACAATCAATTTTTTTCCCGAGGGGCGAATAATCCCCTACGCTATATCAATTGAAGACCATACACTGTACACATCTGTGTACCCTATCTCCAAGTGTAGGTGGTCAATTGCCGACTTCAAATCCCATATTACAAACCTCAAGGGCCGCCAATCACCAACCACATTCCAGTCAAAGGGAACGCAGATCAACAACTTTATACTATTATATTTGATATTCACCCGAAAGTATATCGAGTGCAACAAGAACAGAAGACAAAAAATGTTCGAAGACTTCTCCTTCACCTCGCCGTCATCGCGGCCAGCCCGTCTCGCCCTCGACCCAGACGACCGTCTAATGGTCGACAGCGACAGCAACCTGATCTCACCACTCTCCTCACGCTGTCCATCACCACAATCCCAACGCTTCCGCAACATCTCCCGCTCGCGCTCCTCCCACTACCACCGCAACCAACAACCCCCTACCTCCGTCCCCTTCCCCTATGACTCAGACCACAAACGACTATCAATCTCAACCCTAACTCAAAAACTACACGAACACACCCTCACCACACCTCCAACGGGAGATATCCAACCCCGAAACGGGAGAAACACAACCACACCCGGCTCACGCCGGTACCCAGGCACAGGATACGTCCTCACACCCCCAGACACAGACCACTCGGACGACTCCGGCGTCGGCGAATGTCTCTCCTCGCCATCCGCGTCCTCAACAACAAGCCCAACCTTCATGCCCCCAGACCTCGTCTCCGACCTGCCAGATTTCGGCCTCGGACACCCCTTCTACCCACAACCGCATCCCTACCACCAAGACGTCCGCATGCAGCGTGAGCAGATCTCAAGACTCCAATGCAACGAGTCTGAAGTCGAAGCTATGCAGCGCTCGCTACTAGACGAGCCACCCTCTACACCGGACCTCTGCGACGAAGACGATTGTCATCCTAGTTCGTTGCCGCCGCGGTCGTCGCCGCGACGGAGGGGCGGTTACGCTCGCGCGCAGTCGGTTTGGGCCTGAGGGGGTGGTGAGGGGAGGGCTCGGAGGAAGAGTTCTTCGGCGGGGGTTTTGGCGAGTCGGGTTGAGAAGAGTCATTATGGTGGGTTTGGGAAGAGGAATGAGCAGGGGCTGAGGAGGAAGAGTCTTGTTAGTGCTGCTTTGGCTTCGATGGTTGAGAGGGAGGATGAGAGGGAGGATTATTGAGGTTTGATTATGGTTATGGTTAAGGTTGGTGGTGCATTCCATGGATGGAGTTTGTATATAGGGCATGTACTCGATTTTGATACCCGCATAAAGAAAGAAAGACACATTCCGTTGAGATCATCGGCGGCTAGAATTATTTTGACACATTCCTTGCTTGTAGTATATGTCTAGTCCTACACTGAGTATTTATTATGGTGATCGGCTTTTATTCTAGATATTTTGTGCCCCTTAAAACTTTCTAGGGAGGTAAAAGGTACTACAAGGCTTCATTTGTGAAATAGACTTGTCAATATACTAAAACTTTGATCCGAACATGTAATGCTGAGTTCAGACGAATGTCGAGATGCGTCTAGTGTAAATAGATAATAGATACAAAGCGAGTCTCAGACCCAGAAAGAAGTAGTAAAAAAAAGGTAATAGAAAAAAGACAAGATAGAAAAAAACCTTCCAAAAAGAAAAAAGGAACAAAAGAAAAGAATCGAGACCCGTATCCAGCCAGCCAGTCCATCCAATCCAATCCGACACCCAAGCGCCAACGCTCTTCACAATAATGGACGTAAATTATAACCGAATTCCCGGTCCAAAAGTCACACACACACACACACACACACACACAACCAGCTGCCAGCAGTGTTAGAACAGACAAAGTTCCCAGAACCCACCGTCTAATTCCCAGACTTCCAACTAAAGAACTTCCTTAACCCCTTCCTCTGCGCCGCCTTCCTCTCATCACTCTTTCTCCTCTGGAACTCGAATCGCGGACTAGTCTCACCCGACTGACGCCCTTGTCTCTGCAGCTCATCTAGTGCGCGAGCAGGACTGCCCCGTAAGCCCATCGTCTCTGCGTTCGCGGCTGCGAGGACGGATTGGACATGTGGGTCGAAGTACACCGGGTCGTAGGTGTATGGATCGAAGGGGGCGGGGTAGTGTGGGAGTTTGGATGTGGAGACGGAGCTTGGGTAGGGGTAGGCAGAGTCGAAGGTGGAATACATTGGTGAGTGCATGGGTGAACCACTTGGTGTCTCGAGGGGGATATCGCGGGGTGTGGGTGGTTCTGCGTTTTCTTGGGAGTAGGGGTAGTTGTGGTACTGGTGGTGGTCGGACGTTGTTTCATCTTCCCGTTGGTCGTCTTCTTGTAAGTCGAACAGGATGCCTCTGTCGCGCCCGTCGACTTGGGCCCAGTCGCCGTTGGCGTAGACGGGTGAGCCCGGCTCGCCGATCTCGCTTTCTGAGTAGAAAGTTTGGGTTGATGGGGTGGAAGGGCGGCGGGAGAAGTCCAGGTTTGGGAGGCTGGATTCTTCTGTGATGGAGGCCATGCGTGGTGATTGTGGGACCTCTCTGTCGTTGTTTGCGAGGTCGTAGGTGTCGATACGTAGATCGTTATTTTCATTGCGCTGTGCAGGTCGGCTCCAGTAGTTGAAGCCTTGTTCATTGACAGAATAATCTGATAGAGACCGAATGGGTTCGTCGATATGTGGCGAGGATGACGGGATATCCGTTTGGCATTTGGGTGTTTGGGGATCAGCTGGTAGAGAAGTGTACAATGAGTTGGTGGAATAGAATGATGGCAATGAGGCATCGGTGAATTGGGACAAGGACACCCGGTCCAGTCCTTGCTCGATGGAGAAAGTAGAGTCTCGCTGATTGTCCGTGGACATCGTGGAGCAATTATCAACATCTTCAATGTATGAGACAATGCGTGCTAGATCCAGCGACTTGCGCGGATTCAGGATCTCAAAGCAGGCGCCACCGTGTGAGACGGTGGCAACGGCCTGCGTACTGGCCAGCATTGAGTCCGAAGTTTGAGGTTTGGAGGCCTCAGCTTCTTCTGCTTGAGCTTTGGCCCTTTGTTGAAGCTTTTCACGAAAAGTATTCTTGGACTATTATCAGTGAGTTGGGTCTTTGTTGTGGTGTTTCAGCCAACTTACCGCTCGCTTCCTATTAGGTCTAGCACGAGTCCCTAGATCCGAGACAACGGGTAGTCGAGGGCTTTGAGTGGCTTGATAATGAACTATTGAACTATCAATAAAGGTTCCGGCGAGGTTCGAGCGACTAAAGTCAATTGGGGAAGCTTACCAGTCTGGGCTTCCCCGATTTCAGGTTCTTCACTCCAGTGAGAGACGATGCTGTGGGAGTATGAAGGAGAGAGAGGCGGAGGACTCGATGCCACGGAGGAGGTAGATACAGGATAAGAAATGGTAAGAGGGGATGAGCGGTTCAAATGCAATGCAGCTGTTTTTCGCTTCAATTTCCTTCCTGCATGATCGACGGGATCGGTAATCCGGTCTGCAGATTTGGAGAGGAACTTGTGGTAATCGTGGAGAGAGAGGGCTCCCGTGATACGGGATTTTATGGATCGAGGGGGAAGGGACAAAGCGTCTGCCGAGTCTTCCAAAAGGGGTTTGGAAAGAGGAGTAGGACATGCATGATGATCATGGAGTTGAAGGCAGTTGTGGCAGATGGGGTTGTCCAGCAGCTCACCGTGCCATGGGCTATTGGCAGGGGAATAGTTGAGGTTTTCGTTCATTTTCTGGCTTTGCAATTGCGAATATCACTGATTTCGGTCTTTGTATTGTTGAAGTCCTGCTTCTTGTTTCTCTTGTTCTCGGACCACACTTTTTAGATTGTCGACATATCTAATGCAGTAGATGTAGATCGAAATCCACTTCTCCACACTGAATTTGATTCGTCAGATTTACGCCGCAAGGGATAAGAGAGATAGGCTTACCGGTCGCAAAGATATCAATAGATCATAATAAACAAAACTGCAAGGTACAGAAGTGCAGGAAGAGTAATTTTATGTTTGAAATGAAGAAAAAAAAATGAATGGAATGTGCCTGGATCTGCCACCTTGTTACCCACGTTATCGATTTCTCCACTGAAATAACAATGAGTATATAGCCCGTTTAGCCAGTCGAACCAGTCGAACCAGTCTAAGGCCAGGGGAACTCCGGTTAGACCGATCCAATTAGGATGGACAGAAGAGAGAGAGAGAGTGAAGTTGATGGAGAAGAGTCGAGACCCTCAACAGTTCCCAGGACCCATGGTTCGTCGATCAACTCAACGTCATTGAAAAGTCGGTCTGTCGGGTATTTTAAATGTGGTAGATGTGTAGATGTGGTGGTTATACAATATAGTTATATAACTAGTTAGTTACCTATTCAATAATACACTGAGATAATAGCATTGTGCCCAAAATCACTTGCAGATGATCTCAGCCTCGATCTCCAATTTAGTCGGGTTAGTCGGGTTAGTCGGGTTAGTCCTCTTAGTCCCTTTAGCATCCCACCAATCATCCACCCCAGATCCCTAATCTTCACCAACCTCTTTAAGCCCGGAACCAGTAGGCGTACAGAACAAACACCTGTCTTAGTTCAGGCTGAGGAAGGCAAAAGAATGACCACTCGGCTGTGGCGAGTTTACCACCTTTGATTGGATATCCGGTTCAAATCCCAATGGTGGCAATTTGAAAGAAATTTTCTCCCCTTCTCCACTGGCGACATCATGACTTGGTCATTCGTATCGGACTTCCTTCCACGGTGAAAGTGGATACATTGTACATCGTACAAACTAACTAACTATGTACAGATACTCCCGTACCTTGGGTATGTATGGAGTACATTCGTATGCAGTGATGTACCGTTGATGCAGCAAGGAACCCGGGGTTTTTTTCGATTGGGTCATGTGATCCTGGTACAATGGCTGTGCACGATTCAGGTATCGGCAATTTTTCGGCTGTGAGAACTGTGAGAAGTAGACGGAGAACGCTGTGATGGTTGAACTGGATCTCTTTGATCCATGGTCGGGCACTCAGTATGTTGTACCTAGAAGAATCAAGGCACACATGCATATACAATTGCGACACAGATCGGCATGCCAGCTCATCTCGAGTTAATCTGCTCAAGTCATCTGCCCTGCAGTACCACTGCAACCCCCAGATTTATGTTCCACATGCATGATATACTATGCAATATGCAATATGTAATTTAAACGGATTGCTGCCTCGCTGCCCCAGGCTACCTAGGTCACTGCCGGGTGGGGCTTCCTATCTTACAGTGACTGTTCATAGATGACAAAAATCTGACTATAAACTATATAAACCAAGTAGAGGGATTTCCTCCTTAATCCCTAGTTAACTCGGTAGGCGGTTAGTTAGTAATAGTAGAACTAAAGTTATTATCTGTTGTGGTGGTGGCCTCAGGCCGTCACTTTAATGCCTCAGGTATTAACCCCTTGTAGGTAGATAGTCGGCAGATCCTGCCTTTCTAGCAATCAGCTCTCTCCTTCGGAGTCCTTCCTTACTTTCTGGCCCTACAACTCTGTAGTCGTCACAACATTATCTGTTGATCGTCAGAGTAAATATAGGGGATTGATACAGCCACCCCCCCTTGGATAGTAACACCCCGCCCGAAAAATCAAGGATTAATACTACCGCCTTCCCGATCGGGTGTGACACGCAGGACCCTCGTCTCCGAGTTGTAGGAACCTAGTACTATGAGTGAGATGGACTGGTGCGACATCCCAGACAGAGACTCGCAAACACGCGAACAGAGGTTGTTACAGATCCGGATAATGTGAATGTAGCAGGTCAAGATCACCAAAGCGTCCGAAATATCCGGTTTGAAACGATCCGAGGCTGGGGGGTTATTGATTCAGGGGTGTGGATTTGGCCAAGAGCTGATCTGAAGCGGCTGTAGGACATTGTTTAGGCTCGGTGCTATGCTAGAGCAGAACATGCCAGCCGCCGATCACGATATCGTGTCGATAGCGTGTTGGGATCCGAATTTAGCGACTGGAACCTGGATCCCGTCTGTTGTGGAGACGAGGGCTTCAGAGCGATCGTTTGGAGGACATACACAAACTCGGCGGTGCTTTGAAGGACCTCCCCCAGGGGGTTCGATTTGCCTCCTATACCTGCTTGGCACACGCAATATTGACCAGGGTGACACTCCAAGGTGTGCTCCGGAGCCGGTCCAGTTGCTTGCTCAGCTTCTGTAACCAGGACAGACAGCTTCTGAACCGCGTCAGCGCTGCTCATTGTCTTCCGTGGCTGCTCGGAAGGATCGCAGCTCTCAGGGGGTCAGAATCCAGTCGGCTGAATTCGTCCCCAGAATACTGACTTAAGCTACTAGATCTATGGCTGACATCGGCATACGCGCTCTCCGCATCCCCTGGGCTTGGGAAATGCGTGTCATTTAGTGAGGGAGTCCCGAAGGGGCTTTGGCTATTCGAGATCCCGAACCCCAGGAAATTATCGCTCAACCCCGATAAACCCAACAGGATTGCCGGATCAACACCAAAACGGCTGGGGCCATTTCCATCGAAGGATCCTGGTCCATCTGAAGGGACTTAGGGCTCCCGGTCCTGGTATGTTTCTTGGTGGTCTCGAATGAATTGGTAGGAGTTCGGGCTGCGGTATCATATATCATATCGGTTTCAAACATAGAAGGCAGAGAGATGAGATGATAGTCTATTAAATAGGATATATAAGTTTAAATGGAGGGAAAATTACAATTATCATATTACTGTCCTACGAATCCCCAACACCCAATGGCATATTGTCTACGGAGTACGCAAGACCGTCGAAGAGGTTCCAAGGTTAACGGGTCTCGGGCCAATAAACTTCCCGATTGGCTTTCGGAACTTTCCGAACCTTAAGATCCAAGGTGGATCGTATGTGATCTACCTGGTTTTACTACTAGATTTACTGCCAGAAGCATTGACTCACACGGACTAATACAATTGCAGAATAAATTATTCGATACCGAAATGCCGTGGGAGTCATTAATCGGATCCGGGGATATGGAAGAATCCGAATCGGGGCCAAACAAAGGAGGGACTGTAAAGCTCCGAAAAGGTCGGCCAGATTGTCTCCCCGTCGCCGAATGGGCGAAGAGGTCAATTTCCATAGAAATATTTCTCACTTTGCCCTCCACTCTTGTCTAGCTTTCTGTATACGAGCCTCGTATTAGCTGACAGAAAGGGACCGAAATCGTCAGACGTACACAAGCAGCCGGATGAAGTGGTGAGTAGCTCAAGCTCTATGCAGAGATACTAGTGCTGATCCTTTCACTCCCTTATCTTCTCTTTAGAGATAGCATTGCCCTAATTTGAAAGCTTATCTCAACCATGGTAGTGGAAACAGAGTCCGAGCCTCGAGGGGAAAATGGGCTGCGAGGGGAGGGGGCAGTGAGGAAGCGATCTCCAAGCCCCTGCCAATGAAAAGAGGGTTCCAGTTCTGGACTATAATCTTTACACTCTGTGTGACCGGTCTCCTAGGGGCACTCGAGAATACGGTGGTTTCGACTTCAATGCCAACAATTGTGGAAGACCTGAATATTGGCGACAACTATATCTGGATCACGAATGCCTTCTTCCTCACTAGGTACTTTATCCCCTACCGTCAGTCCTAGTGACCTGAGTTTGAAACTGACACTTCCTCGGGATCTTCTAGTGCAGCGGTTCAGCCCCTATTTGGGCAGCTAGCTAATGTCTTCGGTCGTCGATGGTTGACGATGTTTATCGTCGCTGTCTTCACCCTGGGAAGCGGCGTCTGTGGTGGCGCAAATGGCGCGAATATGCTCATCATTGGACGCGCCGTTCAAGGAATTGGAAGTGGCGGTATCAATATGATCGTCGACGTGATCATCTCGGATCTCGTTCCATTGCGTGAGCGCGGGAATTTCATTGCCATTGTGCTCACCGTGTACTCGATTGGCAGCTCGATGGGCCCCTTTGTAGGAGGAATCATTGTGCAGCGAACAACTTGGAGATGGGTCTTCTATATCAACCTACCTGTTGGCGGGTTTTCGCTGGTGCTTCTGTTCCTATTTCTACACACTAACTATCAGAGCGATACAACGTTTTCCCAAAAGGTCAAGCGTATCGACTATATCGGCAATATCCTTATCATGGGGGCTACGGCAGGGGTGCTCTGTGCATTGACATACGGGGGGCTCACGCTATGCATGGAGCTCCTGGCGGATTATCGTGCCGTTGGTGCTAGGACTTGTTGGGCTGGTTATATTTATGATCTTCGAACAATCCCGGTTCTGTCGGGAGCCTGTGGTACCACCGCGCCTATTCAACAACCGAACCTCCCTCGTGGTCTTCATCAACACGTACTTGTTCACGGTTCTCCTCTACTGGGTGCTGTTCTTCATCCCGGTTTATTTCCAGGCTATTTTGGGATCTTCGCCAGCCCGAGCAGGTGTTCAAATGCTGCCTATTACCCTCGTTGCGATCCCCGGCGCCGTGATTGCAGTTATCGTCCTCTCAAAGTTTGGAAAGTACAAAGCCCTTCACATGGCAGGGTTCATCATCCTCACGTTGGGTATGGGCCTATTTGCCTACCTCGACCGCTACTCCTCCGATGCGGAGTGGATTATTTTCCAAATTATCGCCGCGCTTGGATCTGGTATGGTCCTAAACACCTTGCTCCCGGCCTTCCAAGCCCCCCTCGCAGAATCGGATCAGGCGGCAGCCACGGCAACCTGGGCATTCATGCGGAGCTTCGGCAATATATGGGGGGTGGCTATTCCCGCTAGCATCTTCAACAATCAGTTCAACAAGTATGCCTATCGCATTTCAGATGTTAGCGTGCGACAACTACTCTCTAATGGCCACGCCTACCAGCACGCGTCCAATACGTTTATTGACAGCCTGAATGAACCTGTGAAGAGCGAGGTTATCGGGGTATTTTCTGACTCCCTTAAACTTGTCTGGTTGGTATCGATTGCTTTCTGCGGTCTTGCTTGTATATTGGTGATCTTTGAAAAAGAGGTACCTTTGCGCAAAGAGCTAGATACAGATTATGGCATGGTCGAAAAAGACGCTATTCAGGCAAAGAAGGGGGGTATTCCCGACGCTGAAAAACAGGCGCAGACATTAGGGTAATGGCAGATATGAATGGGCCCGGGGTTCCGCTACTCCACACCGACAGAGGCTCTCCTCGTCCAATCCTCTCTTCTTCCCATTCCCCTTTTTTTACTTAGTATATTTACATATGTAATGAAATGCACTCTATTATTTAGCACATCTATACGGGAGGAATGATGGTTTAATGAAGTTATATGGGCAAAAATACGTTGGACATGGAACCCGGGGGCTGATTACATATACCAAGAAATACCTAGGTAGGCTCGTGGAAGTCATGCACCAGGTGATGAGCACGTGGTAGCTGTTGTGAGTGTCGTTGCGCTAGACCAGGAACCGAGAAATAGAAATCAGTCGAGGCAGAAGCAGATTCCGCTAGCGACTGTCCTCCTGAGGACATTGCGAATCTGAAGGACAACCATCCATACAAGATTGGCTGGAATCAGAGCAGCCATGGATCATCAAGCAGCTGCCTCGCGGTCCTGCGTTTTTCCGGTAGCCACTTGAGCATGGATCTAAGAAAATGAAGAAAAGATTCCTTCTCAGTGCCGGAAAGTCGAGTCTCTAGGCTTTCCAGGGAAGTCGGCGGCACAGCTGCATCTTCATGAGCAATCCAAGCGCCTGCAAGAAGGTCAACTCTAAAATTGATATTTTATGGGAAGGACTGAAGCCGATGGCGAGGGCGCTTACCATTATGATCAAAGCACTGCCCTGTTGTTTCACTACGCCGAATAAAATCAGCCGGCGGTGCCCCGATCAATGCGACCATTAATGCGAGGTGCTTATATGGCTCATAGTTGCCATTATTATCGAAAATATCCCCAAAAAGATGATGTCCTTCGAATAAATCCCAAATCTGACCTTATATTAGTAGAGTGCCGAATATCAGAAATGGTTTGAACATGACTCACCAGAGACCCCAGGTTCCAGATATCAACAGCGCTTCCCCAGGGCATCTCAAATATGATCTCTGGAGATCGATAGATATTTGGCTGTACAAAAGAGCTGGACTCGTGTGTCTTCCTTCCAGTCCTTGCCTGCCCAAAATCACAAAGAATAGGCAGACCGAAGTTCTTCCCTCTAAAGGGAGGGCGGAATTGTCGATTCTGGTATATAGTACGCGATTTGTCAATTATTTTTCGAGGACTTGGCTTCCTGACCTCTTCAGCCGCAAAATCAGCTAGCATTGTACTGTCCTCCAGGCTGAGCATCAGATTGTCGGTCTTCAGATCTATGTTAAGTCAGGCAGGGGGTTTGCTATCTGGGTTCGAGAGGGGCCGTACCAGTGTGGATGGTGTCGGCTTCGGTATGCAGAAAATCAAGCGCCAATAGTAGCCGTCGCAGTGTCATTTTGAGAAGGGGTAGGTCAAAGGGTTTGGGATTTAATCTCATCATCTCAAGAATCGTCATATGCATCGGTTGAAGGACTAAGCACCGGTGTTTACCAGCATGACCCTGGAGCTCGAAGGAGTCATAGAGCTCTCGGATTAGTGATTGTCCTGGGTGTGTCGATTTGATTTTCGCGAGGTGCTCGTAGAGCCCAAACTCGCGGTCGGTCGCGGTGGAGAACTTTTGTAGCGATGTAGACACCTTCAGCACTGCAAACTTTTGACTTCTTGGCTAAGTTAGCGGCGTTGATTATCTTGACTTCAATAGACATAGTATACCCAAGATCCTGACATAGCCAACTTGTCGAGGAGGCACCGAAACCAAGCTTTCCGGTGACCCGATACCTACCATCGAATACATCTCCAATGTGTACGGGGTAGAAATGTTCGGGGTCGTAGTGAGGTAACGTCTCCTCATCGATGGGCCTTTCCACTGGTAATCTAACAAATGATCTTGGAGAGGGATTTGATCTTGCCCTAATGGCAGTTTTCAAAGTGCTCAAGCGTGGAGGCATGTCTGGCGTAGGAGAAGAGAATGTTCATGGCGGGCGGCGCGTAATTCTTGAGGTCTACACCTCTCAATAGCCCACAAAGCCCATAGCCCAACCTAACCCCTTCGGTCCATAATAGCAATTTATCGTAGCTGCATAATTAAAGATTTTAGGTATTCGAACTACAATCTGAGCGATAGTTAGTTATATGAAGCTCTTGTAAGCTTATAAATTAACTCAAAAGGGGTTGAAGATGCAATTTACTTTTTACAAGGGGTACTTGTTTTTGTTAGGGAATTACATAGTAAGTACAGGTACCATTAGCACTACTACAATTGACATCCTAGGTATAGACCAATATATATATATCTCTGTCATACTAATACTTTGGCTAGGTCTTTCCTCTATATATATAATTTTAAAATATAGTGTAATAGCCTCTTAGAGGGTTAGCGCCTCGAGGTACTAAATTAGAAATAGAAAGGTAATTGTAGCCTCGATGGGCCAGTCTTCATGACCAGGTGACCGACCCAATCTAGTGGCGAAGCGGACCTTGAAAGGAGCGCTAGTCTCTTGCTTACAGAGTTACTCCGTACACTGTTCAATGTACTTGCGGCGGGCTGACACTAGGCTGTCCAAATCCTCCCTTAGCTCGCACAGGGTAGCTCGCACGGGGCTACATGGTGCTCCCGTATAAATATGGCCGCGAGGCCTCCTGATCTCACTACATATGGATTGAAGTCCTTTTCTCTAACTCGCCATGGTTCCTGATCTCCAGGCGCTCCTCTCTCACTATGCCCCCCGACTGTCGGTCCCCGTCTGGAAGATCGTCCCCTCCTTGAGTTTGCTGTGGGGGATTTACCAGATCAACCGACGTCTTAGTCGTCGAGCGCTGAATAACGGCGTTTCGGCTACATTTGATTGGGAGAAGGAAATCGTGCTCGTGACGGGCGGCTCAGATGGCATTGGTGCGGCGACAGTACAGAAGCTGGCCGAGCGTGGGACGACCATCATCGTGCTCGACATCCGACCCTTGACCTACGATGCTCGTGAGCACCTTCACTATCTGATGATTTTGATGCCGTAACTGATCTTTGGGTCTAGCGAAATGCGTGCACTTTTATCGATGCGACGTGACCAATCGGACCGAGCTGGAATCAATCGCTGAAACTATTCGTCAGTGCGTGTTTTTCTCCCCTCCTTTCTATGATTTGGGAAAACTCATGGCAATTCAGGGAGATTGGAGCACCCTCCTGTGTGGTGGCTAATGCGGGTATATGTCGCGGTAAACCCTTGCTCCAGGCGACCCAAAAAGACATTGAATTGTAAGAAATTCTGTACGTGGGCCCTTTGGAAGCCATGAACTGAACCATCCCTAGGACATTTTCCGTGAACAACCTGGGTCTGATCTGGACCGTGCAAACATTTCTTCCTTCCATGGTTGCGCAGAATCACGGCCACTTCCTAATACTGGCATCGCAGACAGCCCATCTGGCTACGGCTGGCGTGGTGGACTACGCCGCCACCAAAGCAGCCGCGTTGGCTATCTACGAGGGCCTCCAAACCGAACTCCGTCATATCTATCAGGCACCTGCGGTGCGCATGTCGTGCCTGTCGCCCTCGGCCGTGCAGACTAAAATGTTCCGCGGCATCCAAATGCCCGACTCTGTCCCGCTCTTGCAGCCCGACGATGTTGGCTCAGTCGTTGCTGAGATCCTCTGGAGCGGGCGGGCGCAGAATCGGATGACGCCCGCCGCGGCTTACATCTCACCATTGACAAGAGCGCTCCCAGATTGGATTCGGGTGAAATTGCAGGATTTTGGAAAGGATGTCATGTCGGCTCTTTCGCCGCATCAACCTATGGAAGAGGTAGAATGACGTGCTTTTATTATTGTTCGGTAGTATATATAGCCTGTTACCGTCGTAGAAATAGAACAAACTCAGCGCTGCGGACTCATCTATCGTCTCCAATCTACGAGCCTGCCTGATCCCACCCTGTTGTGGAAGTCCGCCTTTGGGCGGCCTTGCCTCCATAAGGAAGTAGATTTTATTTTTTCAGCAGTTTAGTTTATAATCTTTTCGTCTCCACCCCCACGACAATCCTCACTGTTCAGAGAATCGTCCTCTAGTTTCTCTATCACACGCGACAAAGTCGCACTCGCAATCCGCCCTTGGGTCGTGAGGTCAACCCGGCCTCGATGGTTATCTCTGATTCCTCCGCCAGGGTCATCTCAAACGCGCCCACCAGCGCCGCGACCAGACTGGCGAACTCACCACGAGCGAAGCCCTGCCCTATGCAGGAGCGTGGACCTATAAATCGGGTCAGGTACGGGAGGCTCACAACATTCAACAACGGATACGCACCATGAAGAAAAGTCATGAAGGAAAAGTTAGTCAGGCCACCACCGGTGTTGGCCATATTCGGCCCGAGCCATCGATCGGGATTGAAGACGTTCGGATCGTCCCCCCATAATTCTCGCGACACATTGATGGCGCGCGGCGAGATCACGATCTCTGTGCCTGCGGGAATAATCTGGCCTAGGATGGAGGTGTCATTCACCGCTACCCGTCGAGTGAGACCGGCAGGTGGGTACAGACGGAAGACTTCATTGCAGAAGGCATGCAAGTATGGCAGGCTATCCAGGAGTTCGGCCGTCATCGGGGTATGTGAAACATCGCCCAAAATGCGCGGCAGTCGGAGGCGAACCTCTGCACGCAGTCGTTCTTGGATATTCGGATACAGACATAAGGCATAGAGGGCCCAGGTCATCGATGTCGCCGTGGTTTCGTGTCCGGCCGCTAGAAAGGTCAGTAGATGGTTTTCCAGCATTGAATCAGTGAAATTGCCCGACGCCAGCGCGACGGAGATTATATCTCGTCCGTCACTCTCGCACTTTTTGGCGCTGGCCTTCTTGTTGGAGATCAGCCGACGTGCTACGTCTGTCAATGTGTTGATGGCCATCGTGATACTGTCATGGCGCGGTAGACCCAGAGCGCTTATGACAATCTCACGCGACAGGAACAGGCCCATGGCCAGAATGCCTCGAGGGGGTCGCTGCTCAAACACGCCCCGGTAGGCACGGCAGATCTCATTGTCCGGATTATGGAGAGTGTCAAATTCCTCCCCGAATCCAGCTGCGCCTAAGATATCCAAGGTTGCCCGTGCCAGCCAGTCTGCCACATTGAAGACCTTACTTGATGGATTACTTGATTGATCCGCAGTCTGCACGATGGCTTCTTCAAGTACTCGGGCCAGAGCGACGGATTTGTACCAGAATATGGGATAGAGGTTTTTGATATGTCGGTGCGAAAAAGCAGGCATCAAGTGTTTGCGTTGCGTCTATTGACGTTGTCAGATTTCTCTAGTTCATCTCTTGCTTGTTATAGCAAAAGAACGAGCGCATACCTTATGTTCATTGCCCTCGGCGATGATCAACCCAATCCCCAGAATCCGACCCAGCCCTAGTCGCAACCTGTACGGCTTGGCGAACTCGTAGTTCTTCTGAACTAGGACCTCGGAGAGGCCCTTGGGACTGGTGACAAATACTACCTCCTTGTTGAACCGCATGCGATATCGGATCAGCCCGTTGTTGGATACATTGTTAATCCATTCTTGCAAGGGCATGCCCGATCGTTCGTTCGGAACCACTTTCACATGGCCGCGAAAACGGAGACCACCCTGCATTAGGCTTTTCAGTGTTCTGATTCCTAAGTCTAGCAACTTCAAGCGGCAGGGGCTTACCGGCGGTTCGGGCAATTTGCGCAGAGGACTGAACCAGAAGGGCCACAGGTAAAGCTTCCAGTACGCTAGGGAAACCAAAGAGAGAAACGCAGACACTACTGCAATCACAACAATCGACGTGGAGCTATTCAATTGCCAGAAGATGCCCATCGGCAACAAGAAGCTGACGACCACTACGTTCAGGGTGGACATGGCACCCATTGCGGGAAACTGAGGGTATTTTCAGATTGTTTATTCTCCTGCTTTACTTTTTCTCTTCTCGTGTTCGAGAAGTCTAATCCTGCAGTCAGCATATATAAGACAACGTCTCCACTGCGGGCAATTGTCCGGGGTTTTGCCTCGTTTCGATACCTGGTATTTTGTATTTTGTATTTTGTATTTTGCGTATTACATTTTCAAGGATGGTATCAACACTCTGATGTGATTTCATGTATTTTACAACGAATCACGATAAACAGGATTATTCTGGCCGATGATGAAAGGGAACGCGGAAGTCAGCCAATTTCAATGTTAGTATATTATTATGATCAAACGATGCAATGGAAATATTCGAAATATCACAGCAAAGATGCGCAATGCTCATCGACTCTCATGAAGATTTATACTAGTTACATTCAAATTACTGACAAAATCATCATCTAATCCCCTAATTTAAACAAAAAGCCGAGTCACACTCGTGCGGTAATCCGGACCTTCAGCGGGATTTTCTCCCATGACGTGTAAATATATTGATCTTTCGGCCAATTGCGACACTCGGGACTCAGTTCCAAATCAAAATGCCAGAATATCTTCGCCAAGATCAATCTGAGCTCGATATTGGCCAGACTAGTGGAACATGGGTGGCGTTAGTATAATGTCTGGCAAGTTGAGAAGATGAAGAAGTTCATACTTTCTGCCAATGCAGTTTCGGGGCCCAAAGGAAAAGGGCTGAAGGGCTTGACGAGCATCGCCAGCATACGGCCCGTCTGTATCCAGCCACCGCTCAGGGAGGTACAGCTCTGGGTCCTTGAAGTTGGCGGGCGAGCGAAAGACGGCGTACTGGGCCATTCCCATCGATACCTGTGGCAGGTATGTTAGTGTTAGATGAAACATGTCGTAGGAATGGGGTCGGTTATCACATACATTACCAGGTAGCCACTGACCCAAGATATTCGCCCCCTCGGGCGGCGTTATGCGAGGATGACTGCCTGCTGCTGGGGGATAGAGGCGAAAGGACTCATCAATGACCGCATTGATGTATTTGAGTTTGCTAATCCGCATAATGTCGATCTCTTCGCTGGTTGCAAACGAGGTGCGGAGTTCGTCAAGCAACTTCTGCATCACAGCTGGGTGAGTACACAGGTAGTAGACTGTGCCAGAGAGGATCGTCGCTGTAGTCTCGCTTCCAGCAATTACCATGAGATTGGCATTCGCCACGAGGTCGGGAGTTGTCAATTTACCCTTCTCTTCGGCTTGGAGCAGGTGGCTCATGAAGTCGATGTAATCGGGATGCTGCTGTTTCCGGCGCTTGACTTTCTCCTCGACGAGACCGATATGCCACTTACGCCGCTCGACGATGCGCTTTGGCATGATAGCTAGAATGATAGGCCTAATGTCGATGAAGCGCTGCAAGGTCCGTATGTAGTGCACGTACATGATGGCGTTGAAAATCATTGACATCCACGGGTGGTACTCGGTGTTTTTGAGACAATCGAACGGTTCATAGAACGCCAGATGGCCGATAATGTCAAACGTCACATACTATCCAGGTCAGCTCAAGTTCTTCCATGGTTCTCTACCCAACTTACATTGAACCATTTCACGATATCAACCGGCTCGTCTTTCTCCACCACCTCGTGCAACCGACTGATGAGTAGGTCGATGTAGTGCAGCAGCACGGGTTCCTGGCCCTTCAGCACCTTATCCGAGAAAGCATTGGACAGTAACTTGCGCAGATCACCGTGATCCTTGCGGCCCGCGTTGATGATTGTAGGATGCCTTTTGTCTGCATCAGTATTCTCGCAGGGATCTTTACGATTCTCGGGCAGGCCACTGCGGAATCCGTAGATCTCCTTCCAGGCATCAGCATCCGTGAAGGAGAGCTCGGCGGGTGCGATGCGGACAATCGTCCCATATTTGAGATGAAGCTCATGCACGGTTAACGGGAATTTACCTCGCAGCTGATGCCACGTCCACCACAAACGGGTGGCAGCTGCGAGTTTCGGACCAGGATATTTGGAGAGCGGGTGGAAGTAGATTCGGTAGGTCACGATCCCAAATATGTAACTGAGGGCCTGGGTTAGGAGTTAACACCCGGAACTTTATGAATTTATGAAAAGAAACCACTCTCGGTCCTACATACCACGCCCAGGGACACGAGAACTGCCTTTCCAATGGACAAACTAAATATCCATGATAGAGCCATCTCAAATGGAATATACCGTCAGTCACTATCGACCTTCGGTAGACCAATATGGAATCTGGTTCTGACGTCGTTCGCAAGGGTAAGTGATATTTGCCCGGTGAAGATTGCGGCGTGTCCTGCAGAGACAGCTAGCGGCGCCTAGGTTTTGGTTTACCAGGACCGGTAACGGAGCGAAGGTGGTAACGGATAATTGTCGGCATGGTATTGAATGAAGAACAGCTCCGTTTTCATGACAATCCGCTAGCTACCCCTCAATCGACATTCGACAAGAGCTGACGGATTTCTCGTACGACCTCTGTATTCGTGTGATCTCCTCCAATCGGGAATATTTCCAAATAAGGAGCGTCGAATGGGAAACATCTCTAAGAGGGGGGCATAATCTACGGTGAGATTGGAAGTGAAGTTAGATCCTGGCCACTTATCTTGCTCGTATTCGGGAAATGAGGGATATAAACATCGCGCATTAGCAACCCCCGGGGCTTCATGCATGCCTTCATACATGCGGAAATGCAGCATGGTGCTAATATAAAAGTTGATCCTTCACAGCTTACGGCGGCCTCACAGCGGGCTGGTAATTCCCCGACTGGCGTCGTCAGACTTCCGGATTGCAATTGGAACAGTATAATGCAACCCCGGAGAGTAAGCACACATAAGCGGGGTCTGCGGGTCAACAGCGACCGTCAAGGACGGATTGAAGAAAATATCAATCCCAAGGCAACGGGGAATCCAACGTGGGGTAGGTATTTCCCAGTTTTGGGGGCCATTTCGAGTAAGATGTAAGTAGTAAGCCTCAGGTAGTCAGCGAAAGATCGTCATGACCTTTAAAATATATAGACATCTAAGTACATAGGTAGAAATAAAATTCATCTTGGGGAGAGCTATCTGTTTTACGATGGAACCCAATTTCTTGCAACGTTCGGCGGAGGTGCTGGTCGATCAATTGACCGAGCGAATCGATGACTCGCATGGATTAGGCTTCATGAGCCCCGCGGTCTATGATACCGCATGGGTATCGATGATCCAGAAGCCCGTAGACGACCATATGGCGTGGTTGTTTCCCGAGTCCTTTGAATATATCCTGTCAAACCAATTGGAGGATGGAAGTTGGATCATGTACGCTTCCCAGATCGATGGGATCCTTAACACTTCGGCGTCCTTGTTGTCACTGAAACGGCATTTCACTTCGCCGCTTCAAATCAGTACCATCTCTCAGGAAAGTCTCGCGGGGCGCATTGATCGGGCCACAAGAGCCTTGAATGCCATACTCGACGGATGGGATGTCGACGCCACGGTACATGTTGGGTTCGAGATCCTCGTCCCGGCGCTGCTCGGATATCTGGAGATCGAAGGCATTGTGTTTTCTTTTCCAGGTCGCGATCGTCTCTTTGCGGTCCGCGACCAGAAACTGGCTCGGTTCAAGCCCGACCTTCTCTATATGCCTGTCCAAACCACGGCCTTGCATTCATTGGAGGCATTCATCGGGTTGATTGAATTTGACCGTGTTCGTCATCATAAGGTCAACGGCTCTTTCATGGCTTCACCATCTTCCACGTCAGCTGTGCTCATGAATGCCTCCGAATGGGATGACGAGTGCGAGGAATACCTTCACCATGTCATCCAGTCCGCGTCAGGAAACCGCTCTGGAGGTGTACCCAGCGCGTTTCCTTCCACTACCTTTGAAATTACCTGGACACTCTCAACACTGATCAAGAACGGATTTGATCTCGATCCGAAATTACTACCATCAATCCAGAAAGCCCAAACATACCTGCACAATGCTCTCGTCATGGAAAAAGGAACTGTGGGATTTACACCACATGTTTGCGCCGATGCAGATGATACCTCCAAAGCCATTCTCGTGCTCCAACTGCTACAACAGCATGTATCGCTGGAACCGATGCTGAAAGCCTTTGAAGCAGACCTCCATTTCAAGACGTATCCTCACGAGCGCGACCCCAGCTTCTCGGCCAACTGCAATGTCCTACTGGCATTGCTCTATGCGGAAAATGTCTCCCAGTATGCGCCTCAGATCGAAAAGGCGACCCGGTTCCTATATATGCACTTCCGGGAAACCGACTTGAAAGTCCGTGATAAATGGGTAAGTAGATCAATCTTCGTCCATGATAATGGGCTCTTCACTGATTGGACATAGAACCTGTCGCCATTCTACTCTTGGATGCTCATGACCGAGGCTATTGCCCGCCTGCACCTGCTATTCCAGAGTTCTAAATTACTGTTTCTGAAAGAGCTTTTCGAGAAAGACCTCGTCGATCTGCTGCGTGACATGACAGTTTCAGTCCTGCGCCAACAGAACCAAACCGGCTCGTGGGGCTTTAGAAATTCCAAGGAAGAAGCGGCATATGCGGTACTCATCCTCACATACGCGGTGGACTTTGAGTTCTCCGAGATACCTCGTCACTTGATCCGAAGAGCAATCCACGACGGCTGCTCTTTCCTCCGTTCAAATGCCGTTCTTGGCTCGGGGCATCTCTGGGTGGAGAAAGTCACATATGAATCGGAAATGTTGTCACAGGCCTACACCTTGGCTGCGTTGAAGAAGGCGGCAGATTCACCACCGGAAGCACAACAGAAACCGGAAGGTGTCTTCACAAATTCGGCAAATGGACATAGTGCCGAGCTCACTGAAATCGTAAGCAAAGGCACAAACGGAGCATCCTGCGTCGAAACAAATGGTACCGAAACGAAGTCTCTCGACGTGCTGCCCACACCCACAGTCGAGCTTCATGGTCCCCATCAGAATGGACATGTCCATACGAAGAGTACAAAGCTCATATCGGCTTATTCCAATGGTGCCTCAAATCATTCCTACCAGTGCGAATGGACAGACGACCAGGAGCAAATCCTGTTGGGGCCATTTGACTATCTCGAAAGCTTACCGGGGAAGAACATACGATCGCAATTCATTCAAGCCTTTAATTCCTGGCTCCAAGTTCCCACAGAACACCTGGAAGTTGTCGAAAAGGCGATTTCCATGCTGCACACTGCATCGCTCCTCGTCGACGATATCGAGGACAGTTCGCTCCTTCGACGAGGGCAGCCGGTAGCACACAGTATCTTCGGCACGGCACAAACCTTCAACTCTGGCAATTATGTCTACTTCCTTGCGCTTCGGGAGATCCATAAACTGCGAAGCCCACGTGCGATTGAGATCTACATCGACGCTTTGATCCATCTGCACCGTGGTCAAGGCATGGATGTGTTCTGGCGCGATTCGCTCATTTGTCCCACAGAAGAGGATTATCTGGATATGGTCAGCAACAAAACTGGGGCGCTTTTCTGCCTCGCCATCGAACTGCTGCAGATCGGTAGCACTGTCCAAGTTAACTTGGTCCCGTTAGTCCGACTATTTGGCATTATCTTCCAGATTTGCGACGATTATCTTAACCTGAAGTCGCCAAGCTATTTGCAGAAGAAGGGCCTATGTGAAGATCTGACCGAGGGGAAATTCTCTTTCCCTATAGTCCACAGCATTCGCTCAAACCCCACCAATCGGCGACTGATAAATATCCTGAAACAGAAACCCCGGGATGATGATATCAAACGATATGCGCTTGCCTACATGGAGTCTACGGATACCTTTGAGTATACCCGGGACTTTGTTGGCAGCCTGAAGGCTGAAGCCTTAGAAATGATAGAAGATTTAGAGAAGCAGGGACTGGGAGAGAATTTTGCGATTCGAAAGCTCTTGGCTCGTCTGTCGGTAGATGGGTGATGAAGGGGCGTTGACTATTACTACACTACTGTGTTCCTATATTGTTCATGCATTTGTTTCCCAAGAAGATGCATCAAATAATATAAACTTTTGTTGGCAAAGACAGGAATTTACTGGCTGAAATCCGTGGAGGACAAATCCTCACATTGAAATTATTCTTTCATCATTTCTCCGGTTACTTTTCGAACGACAAGCGTGGCAATGATCCCATCTATTTCATCCTCCCGCAGCAAGCAGAAGTCAACAAAGTATCTCCGCGCTCCTCCAAACTTGGCTGCTACAATTTCAGTCAAGAATGCGCGCATGTCGTCCGGATGACTTCCTATGATAGTTTCCGCCTGCTCCCGACTAGAAGCTTCACATCTCTGCAAGAGCCGCTGAATCAAATGGTCCCGCCACGTGCCTAGCCCATGTGTCGTCAGCGCATAATCAGCCACGATATCTTCGTCCGCCACTCCACACAGCTTAAGGACCAGTGCGGCAAATACCCCAGTGCGATCTTTTCCCAGTGTGCAGTGAAACAGGATCGGTGTGTCCTGATTCTGCAAGATATGTAGCATGATAGCGCGAAAACTACCCGTTTGCGCTGCATTGCGCATAATGACCTCGTAGGCTTTGATGAAACTACGCTCGGCAGCCTGGCCCTGCGTCACTCCATCAGAGGTTACTCCGTACCGCTTTGCCAGTGAAACGGGGGAGTAGTCTCCATCCTGGAATACTGGTACTGCGTGGCGCGTCGTCCCTGGGATATCGAGGAAAGAGTCAGGATAGCGTGTATTCACAAGCTGGATTTCCCCCTTTGAGCGAAAGTCGAAGATGGTTTGGATATGGAGTGTCTTTGTCAGTTTTTCGATCCCTGTTGGGGTAATCTGGGAGGGCTGTGCGGCACGGAAGAGGACGCCTGGCCGAATGCGCCACCCTCCGACTTGAGTTTCATCGACGGTTTGGGTCGGAGATGATGTAGTTGAGGGATAACATGTATAGCCTCCGATGTCGCGAAAGTTAGGGACACCGCTTACCGAGACGAATGGCAGTGAGTCTGTCGGGGTGGCATATAGGGACATGTCTCCTAGACTTGAACACATTGGAATGCAATGATTGGCATGTCTGATATGAGAGTTCACAAAAGGTGCAGCATAGAAGAGTCATGGATCTAGCATCACTTGCCGATATAAGCCATGGTAACCTTCCAGGTTGCATCACATTAGCCCATCGTTAGCGTGAGTTTTCATGCGCCAGCATCCTGGTCTGCCTTGAGCCATTCCCTGGAGGAATGCCAGAGTCTCCGCGGGACCGTTCTGGCCAGTTAGTAAATTCGGGAAGTAAGCACCGATTCGCCTGTCCAGTAGGATGATTGACAATGTTTCATACGACCTCCAAGGGCTGTATCAGTCGGGGCTGGAGCCAATAGATGCACACAAAAGAGCAGGGGGCGGAAATTCCGGAATCCGCTGCAGTCAGCAAAAGAAAATCTCGAGCTTTCCAGGCCACCTAGTTGTCCTCATTCGGACATTTGCCAAGAAACAATGTCCTAAGCTTTTGATTGGCACTTCTTGGCAAAGTATGTCCCACCGGGACTCCCCAGGTGGATTAGTTGCATAAAGTGGCGTATGGTGAGCACTGCATAGCCTTGACCCCGCGTCGGCCTCGGTATAGGAGGCGTGGAAGATGGGCGGAGGGTATGATCTTGGGAATGCCGCATTGTTATTAAATTATCTATGTGAATTATTAGGCCACCTATCATACCTCCTCGTTGATTGCCGAAGACTACTGTGGCTGACCTAATCTGAAAAATACTGAAAATACAACCTCTTTCCATACCAGAGTGTTTTTTTCATACCGGATGATACCGAGGTAAGGAAAAGAGTTGGATTCTTAATCATTTGGTAGGAAACTCCTGTAAGAAAGCGTGTTGACCGAATTAATCAAGATGGCTTTTGAAAATGAGAGATATGAGAGCGCCGAAGAAATCCAAACCTTCCATTCCACTCTTGCGAGCACGTTCCAAACGGGTCGAACTAAAGACATCGCTTGGCGCAAATGGCAGCTCAAGCAGCTGTGGTGGTTAGTAGAGGACAATGAACAGGCAATCCTTGATGCCATCAAGGCGGATCTCAATCGGTCCGAAGTTGAAAGCTATCTCACGGATCTCGCCGGCATCCGCAAAGATATACTATATCACCTAGATAATATAGATGTCTGGACCGCAGATGAGACAATTGGGGATAGTTTCATTGCAAGACGACTTCGTCTCGCACGAATCCGAAAAGAGCCACTCGGCGTGGTTCTCATTATCGGTGCATGGAATTTCCCAGTCCTGCTGGTTCTGCAGCCTCTCATCGCGGCCATCACCGCGGGCTGCTGTGCGGTCATCAAGCCATCTGAGGTAACTGTGGCATGTCAAAATCTCCTCCGAGACCTGGTCACCCAATATCTTGATCCTACTGCGATCAGATTGGTCTGTGCGGGCGTTCCGGAGACGACCAAGCTCCTTTCGCTTCCTTTCAATCATATCTTCTTTACCGGCTCCGCGAATGTGGCCCGACATATCAGTGCGGCAGCAGCAATCCATCTGACTCCTATAACCTTGGAGTTGGGTGGTCAATCTCCTGCCATCGTGGGTCAATCAGCTGATGTCGAGCACGCTGCCAAATGTATTGCGTATTCCAAATTCCTCAACGCCGGACAGATCTGTCTGGCAGTCAATCATGTCTTTGTGGATCCGGCGGTGCATGGCGCGTTTGTAGACCGATTGCAGTACTGGAACAAACGATTTTTGCATGGGCAACAAACGATCACCACGGCCATTGTCAATCGGCAACATTGGGACCGTTTATTTAGCCTTTTGCACAAGACGAAAGGGACGATTCTCTGCGGCGGAGGTGGAAGTGAGGAATCGCATCGAATGGAGCCAACTGTTGTAGTAGAACTTGATATGAACGGTAAATCCGCTTTCAATCCTTTGTTATTTTGGGAGACAAGTCTGACTCGCGCCACTAGATGTGCTACTAGCGGAAGAGATCTTCGGTCCCATCTGTCCTGTGGTCAAGGCAGATGTACGTCAGGCCTGCCAGGCAATTAATGAGTGAGCCTGGGATCCTTTCGCCATAAAAAACCGTGCTAACCTGTGAAATAGAAGGGAACATCCCCTGGCCCTATATATTTTCAGCTCCGACAGCTCGGAAATCCAGAATAGTTGCGTGTACCCATCAGTCCCTGAATCGCGAAGTAATTTCACTAACGCAACAAATCAGTACTTGATAACACGAATTCGGGTGGAGTCACATTGAACGATGTCATCCTCCATGCAGGATTCCCGGGTGCTCCGTTTGGCGGTGTTGGTGGCAGCGGACATGGCTACTATCATGGTTCCTATGGATTCAAGGCATTTTCGCATCTTCGGACTATCGTCAGTTCACCGAAATGGTTCGACCGTCTGGTAGCATTCCGATATCCACCATTCGACGCAGCCAAGAAATCCAGAATCCCACAAACCAAGGCTAAGTTCAAACGGGGGGAAACAACCCAGGATCAACGGCGTGAAGTCTCTGGAATGGTTGGGTCCAAACTTGCAGTTGCCACAGTTCTTTGTGGGATTGCCTTTTATTATTACTCCTACTCCAAATGATAGTGCATACGTCTTTTCGAAATCATAAGCAAATGAATCCATTGAATAATATTGGAATTAGATAGATAACGAGATAACGTTGCAATCAATAACAATCACACTCCACCAATCAACCTCATTGACATTCACCTCATTGCCATTCGTCCCAGGCAGTAGTTCAGGCCTTCTTGCTCTCCTGCATCTCGATCTGCTCCGAGGTGATGGTAGTATCCTTCAGGTCCTCGACCCTCTCAACACCAGTTAGGCCCAGAGATTGGTTAATTCTCTGCATGCGGAGACGATCGGCCTCAGCAATGCTTGCCTCGGAGCCACCGAAGAACACATCTAGTTCCTCAAGGGTCTTATCCTTGGTTTCGGGTGCGAACTTCCAAATGAAAAGACCGCCTAGGCCACTGAAGATGGCGAAGAAAATGTAGGTGCCGTACTTCATCGAATCCAACATATGCTTCGTCGTCAAACCGATGATGAAGTTGAACATCCAGTTGGTACTAGCAACAATGGCAACACCCCTGGAGCGCTGGCTATTAGGGAAGATCTCCTGGGTCAGGACCCATGCGACAGGGCCTATAGACAGTTAGTTCGGAAGGTGGAAGGAATAATGAACTAAAACATACCCCAAGAGTAGGCGAAGTTCACTGCAAACAGCCAAATAAAGACAATAGCAACCCATCCCTGTCCTTTGTTCAGACCCTGGTTGAGGTCCCATTTAGGTTTAAAGATACCCTCGACTGTGGCCACAACGATATGACAGCAGAACATGCCAATGGCGCCGACGATAAGGAAGGTTTTGCGACCAAATTTATCAAGATAGAGCACGGCAGGGAGAGTAAAGACTATCTGCAAAATTCCGGTCACACCAGTAGCCAGAAGAGTCTGCGTGGTGGAGCTGAATCCGAAACTGGCAAAAATCTGGGGTGCGTAGTATAGGACTGCATTGATACCGGTAAATTGTTGACAAATCATAGTACCGCAGCCAAGGAAAAGACGCTTAATCATGTTAGGGGCAAAGAGTGCCTTCCAGGGAGCCAGAGAACCACCAGCACCGACAGATTCGCGCTCGGTTTCTTCGTCGAACATGACAGCCGCTTTAATTTCAAGGAATTCGGCGCGGACGTAAGGGTCGTTGGATGGGAGACGGCGGAGTCTCGAGAGAGAAGCGAGAGCTTCGTCCTCACGGTGCTTCATCATCAACCAGCGAGGGGAGAAGGGGAAATAGAACATGCCGAAGAAAAGGATCCAAGCAGGAATAATTTGTATGGCTAGAGGTAGGCGCCAGGCGATAGTCTTCTGGCCGAGGCAGGTATGTCCGTTGCTAAGGGTAGCGTCAAAGGCACCACTAGCGAGGTAGGGGTTAGCGATACCCTCGGGATCGCAGGTCGTACCGCCGACAAATTGCATGCCGTAGTCGAGCCAGAAGGAGATAGCGGTGCCAATCGTAATAGACAGCTGTTGAAGAGAGACTAGAGATCCACGTAGTTCTGGAGGAGCAATTTCGGCCTGGTAAAGCGGAATGACCATACTGAACATACCAATTCCCACACCACCGATAATCCGGCCGGCAAAAAAAATAGGCAGGTGTTTGTGCACCAGTTTGTAGGCCAGTGCCTAAGGTAAAGATCAAGACAGCAGTCATCATGGCATATTTGCGAGAGATACGATCAGCGAGGATTCCATTCAGCAGAGCACCGGCCCAGGCACCTAGCTCTAGAGCAGACACCAACCAGCCCTGAATGGTGGATCCTCCAAAGGTCGGGAAATGGTTTTGGAAATTCTCCATAACCAGGATGGGGCCCATGACTCCCTGGTCGTAACCATACATGATACAACCCAGAGAGGCAAAGCAGCATGTCAAGGAGACGAATGGGTTTTTGAGAAGGCCAATGATACCATGGGCCTTCCCTGCGTTAGCACGGCCAACGACAGACTGGCTGACTGCCATCTTGGGGATGTAGGAAGCAAAAGTCGGAGGTGGAAGACAAGGATGAAGGGAAAGTGTGATGAAAGAAAAGTGTGATGAATGAAAAGGATGATGGATTGAAAGTGGGTTGAAGTGAAAGTGTGATGAATGGAAAGAAGGAAAGATGGAAAATCTGGAGTAATTTCTGTGAGGTTAGAGCAACCAGATTATGTAGTTACCCCGGTAGGGTTCTAGTTTGCTTAATTGGGAAACTACCAGAGTGAGTCCCCAGACCACACAGTCTCAGTCCCCGCATATCACCAGATTCACCGCTAATGATACCATAAGCGAGACCCCAGCTTATAATCCATCTATGGATGTTTCTAGGAGCTTAGGGGAATACTACTTAAGGAAATGTTACAGTGGCATTTCATTTGCACATACATCTTAATCTTACCTTGACCGTTCTTACTATACTACTTACATATTGCTACTACGTGCGCTAATATTCGAGGCTTCTACATACTATGTATCGTAGTGCATTGCTTTTGTTAATTTAGTAGAGTGTTGAGGAAGTTCCAAGGTTGTTAAGGAGTTTTGTATTGGAAAATACATATATGTTTTGAACTACCTAGGAACAGGCAGAGAATAAGTGGTTCTCCAGCCTTATGAAGTACCTGGGATGTACCTAGGATGTAAATACTAAAAGTGATAATACATTACAGAAACATTCAACGGACATACACTAAGCTTTGGGGGACAAAAGAAGCATCAGCCGATAGGCCGAAATTACCCGCTAAACCCCATCCTATCTCCCGAAAAGCTTCATTCATTGGCTAAGATTGGCCTTATATCTCTGTCAGCTCCAAACCCCATTTTTCCCCAATCATACCCCGCTACTATCCGGGGTGCGTATAACTAACTACTATACGGTGTTGAATACATATATCTATGCAGGTGGCTGTCAAAAAATATGGCAGGAAAGACAGCTGGGTCACATTCTTGTGATGGGAAGGGAAAAAAAGGCAGTAACAAACTTGTAGACACAGTCAGCGTTGGACGAGAACAGACGCCACCAGGCGTACTCTGTATGAAAGAAAGATTCCGCTTTTCAGGGGGTGGAAATGAGTAAGTAATATTATGTGGAATGCCCTAGATCAGACCTCGGGACTGATCCTACACCTGGGATAGTTCGCTTTTGACGCGTGCGCCACGGCCCACCACTCCAGAATGCTCTTAGAATATCCATGGATGTTCATTCATTCACCAGACAGTTATCTCTAGGACTCAAGCCCCTATAATCTGACCAACGGCCGTCTTATATGCAATGCTACCGCGTTGTCCAAATAGGACTTTCCTCCTGGTATTTGGTGGAACATACAACTAAATATCATTTAATCTTTATTCAACAAACTCAAACTCCCTAGTTCATGCAGACTGAAGCTAAAAGGAAATGACTCGAACAAAAAAAAGCCAAAGTGGTAGGGAAAGCAAGAGCAATTTAATATCATAATGTGGCCGTGATGTGGTATCGAACTGATGAAGCAACGAGAAAAACAAAAAAAGGGGTAACAATGAAGGCAGGAACAAAAAAGATCAATCAAACACATAAATCAAAAAAAGGGACCATTGCCTATGCATGTATGTACGAAATATGCAAGGGCCACACCTCCCGTAGAACAGCCCACCACACTCTCAGTACCGTTTATACTTCTAAAACTGTTGTTAGCCACACCCACCAAAACAGGGTTCATCAGAAACCACTTACATCTTCCATCTTACGCCGATTGCTCGGGTCAAGGGTATTCCCCGCACCAAGCAGAGTCTGTCCCACAGCCTTGGACACTCCGATAGCCGGTCGGAGGATGACCGTGGGTGCACGCTTCCATACTGCCTTGGCGGCCGCCTTGGCGCTCCCACTCTCCACTACCTCCCCGGGTACAGCGACGATCGCATCCCGAGCTAAGAGTAGATCGCGTTCGAGACCACTGAACGCCCCACGCAGTCCCTGAACCACCCCAACCGGCTGATCGGCGTACAATGAGATCTTCTTCGCTTCGTCTTCGTCGAGTGAGTCGTCGTCGTAGGGTGGTGCGCTGGGGGTGGTCAGCATATCCTCCGCGCCTTGGAGGACGGTTTGTGTGCCGATGGCGAGTTTTGCGCCGAGTTTGACCAGCTCGTTGGAGGTTGTCTTGGCGAAGGCTAGGGCGCCCTTTTGGATGCTGCGCACGATCCGGCCGTCTTTTTGATATTCACGCATCGGGACGACAACCAGGTCGCGCATGCCGCCGCCGACGTTGACTAGAGAGCGGATCGGTGCGAGACCGGCAAGCACACCGGGCAGCTGGTTCTGCTTGACATCTGGCATCCAGATGTCGTTGAGAGTTTGGCCCATTCGGTCGAACCCGGACACTCCATATATGATTACATGTCGTAGCACCATGTCGGCGCCGTCTAGCACGAAGAAGTTCATGAACTCAGTTGTACGACCGGACCGAAGTCCTGCGTAGTCGACCCGTTTAGGCTTGAAGTCTAATTTGACTTGCACGGCGTTTATTTCTACCCGCTGCAAGAATGGAACATCACCCGGGGTATCAGACTGTTCGGCGGTCTCATCTCTAAATTCGAAGAACCGACTCATGAAGTCAAGAGCATCCTGGTCAACATGCAACCGGAGTGGTAGAATAGTGGCCTAAGAGTCATGTTAGAAACAGGTCTAGACAATTAATCACTAAGAAACGAACCTTGAGGACAATCTCAGACGCAGCCAGCTCAGGCACAGGCTTTACAGTTAGAACTTCGAGGTGAACCATGCTCGTTCCACTTTCTTTTTCACCAGCCTCACGCATGTACGTTGCGAACTTCTTCCACGTGGATGTCGGAACATGATCGTAGATTTCTAGATCCTTGACCCGCACATCTAACGAGCTCTGCGTCTCTTCTGAACCCGGTGGGAAGACAATCAGATCGGCAGAAACACCCTTCAACTCGAAAGTCATTTTGTGGTGTTTGCTCCGATGCAAGCGCAATTTCTTCTCTCTCTTCGAGCTTGATCGGCCCTGGCGACTTCCAGCCCCAGTCACGGTAGTGGTTGTTGCGTAACTCCCAGTCTCACTGGTGAAATCGTCGATGTCCTGATTGATCTCGCGGTGGAGTTCCCGTGGATCCTTGTTGGCTGGAATACCGATGTAAATGGAGTTGAAGAGGAAATCACCAATGACAGACTCCTCTTCATCTTCTGCTAAAGGTGACATCCGTGAGCCCCGGGAGCGGCGTTCTGTGGCCTTGGTTTCCACATCCTTGACAGCTTTGGATATTGTGTCACGGGTGCGTTGCCAGTCATATCCATCAAAGAGATTCCAGATGAAATGCACGTCTCGAACACGCACACGCAAAGGACTCCGCTCAAGCTTCGTGTCATTGGCGAAGCCGTAGGTGTTCTGGGTAGAGTCCCACCGATGAGCGGTTCCACCCACAGCTGATTTCTTTGCAAAATGGTCCTCCTGGAAGTCCAATTCCGTCATGCTGGATGATACTTGGTATTGGGAATGGAAACTGTCCAGCAGATCATTGGAACCCGCTTCCATGCCTTCAATGCCCACACCACCAAGACCAAGACCGCCCTTCGCGGGATAGAAATCGCTGACGTATTCAAGTTCGTCGAGTAGCTGATCTTCCTTGGACGATCCTTCGGGGATAGTTGCCAGATCATCGTCACTGGAAAGAGGGGCCTCAGCCGCAAATGCATCCCCGGTGAACGAGGCGAACATATCTTGGATGGGCATAACCTCTGTTCGATATTTGATATTGACATTTGGTGGAGTTGGAGGTTGAAGCCCATTCATGATACTGATGAGCGTCTGAGTAGAATCCGCGCATGTTTCGAGGATCAACAGGTCATCTCTCAGCTCCACGTCCAAAGACTTCGTCCCATCCTCAGCGCCGGTAAGCTTGACACCAGCAGTTGCCGATGAGATGGAAGAAACAGGAACATAGCCTTTATCGATATACGCTTGGGCCTGGGTGTCTTGAGGAACGATAGAGCCCCGTTGGTGCAGGTTATCAGCTCCCTCATGGTACACATCGTCAATTATCATGAGCGATGCTTTTCTAATGTCCAACGATGCTTCCGCAGATTCCTCCCCATGGATACTTCCTTCGAACTTGGCATTGGTGAGAACTGCAAGGCCTTTTGCTGGGGAATTGCGAGGGTTGAGGCCAAGAACGCAATCTCTGAACCCAACTGCCAGCTTGACCGGCTTTGTCGAGGAGCTGGATTCATTAGACATCGTCCGCCCTGTCATTGAAGAAGACGGGATTGAGTGCTCTGCAAGATTTGCAATAGAGTTGACCATACTACTGGCCAAATCTCCGCTCATCTTGTCGCCACCCAATCCAAGGAAGGCCGTCACTGATGGTACCGTATACTCGACAAGGAGGTTGTGCAGTTTGATCTTGTAAGTAGGATCCATCTCATCGGGTATGAAACGAGCCATGAGGACGGGCGGATAGGACTGGTCTGGATCCCGATATTTGTTCGGCGGCCACAGGGCATGCCCCACCAGCTCTTCCTCGTTATTCCGACTGACCGACATAGTTCCAATTTGGGCTGCAGTAAGCGAAGGCATAGTGATGTGTGCAACTTCAACATCGGTAAGTTGACTTTCGATGTCCCCAACTTCTCCACCAACGTGGATGCGTCCTTGGAAGTCACGGGCCAGCATCAAAGTAAGAATACCAGGGCGATCATCTTCTGGCAGATACTTGGTGACATTGGAAAGCCGACTCAACTCGACAGCCAGAGATGAGAGGGGCTCTAACCCACCGGTATCTGAAATGACCGTTTCCAAGCGCCCCACTGTCACACGGAGAACAGATCCTTGTCGTCGCTGGCGCAACAGCGTGTCTAGCATGATATCATCTTCCACTTCAAATTTGTCCTGGGACGGGGTGATCAATGTCAAAAGACGATCGAGATCAACCTCTTTTGGAGCAAAAAGGAACTCAAGGCGTATGTTGTTCAGGGTGATTTTGGCGGGAGT